GCAGGCCGCAACAAGTCGCGCCCGCGGTGGCGGCTCGCAATGGGGACAATTCAAATTTCACCTCGAACTCGTGGACGGAGTGATCTTCCTCCACCTCCTGGTGGCTGGAGAGGGGTAATCCCGCAGGCGGTGGGAAGAGAGCAGGGCTCCCGGGGTTAAGGAAGTGTTACGGGCGTGCTGCTGGCCATGGGGAGCTCCAGAGAATCCTCATCCTCTTCCCCCTCCCTCTCCTCCCCCAACTGATCTTCCTGCTCCCCTCCTCCCCCCTTCCTGGGGAGGAGGAGCTGGAGGAGGAGGAGGAGTACCTGAAAGACCCGTTAGGAAGCGCCAGTCGCCCCACCCCCTTACCCCCTCTTCAGACATCCGAGTAGGCCTTCTCTTATTTTACATGCCCACCCAGAGCTCTCGACCTCTTCCAGAGGACTGCTCGCTGCATTGCCTTATGGCCCGACGTTGGCCACCAGAGGCCCAAATCGACGAACAAGAGTCACTGGCACCGAGAAGCAGCCACGCTGGCGCCACACTGGACATCAGATCCCTCCCTCGGAGGGCGTGCCTCCCATCCCTTCCAAATTGCGCTGAGGGTTTCTCTACCCGTACCCGCAGACGCATGTCATAGCCGACGAAGAACTCCCTCAGAAAACCGCACCGTGTTATGCGCAATCGGAGCAGTGGGAGCTGCGTGCACAGGAGGAGGTGGTGGCGGGTGAGCAGGAGGAAGAGCGAGAGAAAAGGAGCAGGAAAAGGAGGACGAAGTGGAAGACGGAGGACGAGGCCGAGCAGCAGCAGCATGAACTGGATTAGCAGGAGCGGCAGGAGCAGGAGGACCAGGGCAAGGAGAAGGATGCGAAATGAGGGGGGGGACAACGATTTGAAACAAAGAAGCAAATACATAGAACACACCTTTGTCCGATACTGTGTAAAGAATACGTGGAGAGAACGGGCTAGCTTCCGGACGGAGTCAGGGGAGAGAGGAGAGCAGCATTCATCATGTGCAATCATCAAACGGGGGAGGGGAGGCAAAGGGCAAGGGAGTGTAAGGGGGGAGGGGAGGAGGGGCGGGGGGGGGGCGCGAAAGGCCCTGGGGGGGCTCTTGCCTCGCCAACAGCGGCTGGCAGGCCGTACCCGTGGTCGATGGGTACCAGGCCCGTCACCTGCGGGGCGAGGTGCGCGTGGGGTCGGGGTCGGGGTGCGGGGGCGGCCTCGAGGAGCTCCAACGCCTTGAAGACCGAGGTTCGAACATCGAAGATCTTCATTTTCTGGAGCGGCGTAGTTATGCCCTGTTTGAGCCCCCTTGGGCGCGCGAGCCGCCACGGCTGGGTTCACCTCGGCATGGCCATCGGAACGCGCAGACCTGGAGGCGGGGGAGCGATCGCCCACAGAATCAGCACCCCGCCCAGTTCTCCACACATTTGCACACACGCACGCACGCACGCACGCACGCACGCACGCACGCACGCACACAAACACACACGCACACACACATACACACACATACACGCACACACACACACACACGCACACACACACATACACACACACGCACACACACAAACACACGCACATGCACACGCACACGCACACACAGAGACGCACGCCTCTACCACTTCAAAGAAACAGCACCCCCACAACCCCACACTCCCACCAGCTCTACATCTATGCATCAAGGCGGACACCTCTCGCAATGTTTCACCAATGGGGCTGAATCCGCCGACACTGTCGGAGTGTCCGAGACGCTGTCGTCGTCGTCGTCGTCGTTGTCGTCGTCGTCGTCGTCGTCGTCGTGGTCGTGGTCGTGGTCGTGGTCGTGGTCGTGGTCGTCGTCTTCGTCGTCGTCGTCATCCTGTCGTCGTCGCTGTCCCATCCCTTTCCAAAGGCTCTCCTCCTCCAGCGCACTAGCTAGAGGCTCCCCCTGTTCCCTGGCCCTTCCTCCTCGACCGTGCCAGCCAAGGGGAGATTGAGAACCGTCGTCCCTGAGTCGAAAGGAGACCCTTCCCCATAATCCCTTCCAAGCCAAGGGGGTGGGTCCTGGGTCAGAATGCGTACGTTCCCTCCCCGCTCCCTTTTCGAACAATGTCCGGCCCCATTTGGCGCTGTGTCGGCAACTTACGTCCAAGACAATTCAGGAGGGCCCTCAAACTGCCCAAGATCGCGCCAGGACGGCCCTTCGACACCCTCGAGTAAGCCATTAAAATCTCCAGACGCCCAAACATGGCTTCAAGGTGATCCCCAAGAGGTCAACACCCTCTGATGTTCTTAACTTTACTTTTATGGTTTCCGCGTTCTCGCCTTTTCGGGCTTCCGACGCTCCAAGACGGCCCAGGAAGTCCCCAAGATCGCCCAAAGACGGCGCCAGCGGCCCCCGAGAGGGCCCCACAGCGGCCGAAAATCGGCCCAAGACTGCCCCAAATTGGCCTGAATGCCCCCAAGACGGCCGAAGAAAGTCCAAAGAAAGCGTTAAGAGCCTCACATGAGGGGGATCGCCAACCGGCACTGCGCGCCGTCCGCCACAAGAGGCCCCCAGGAGGCCCCAGGAGGCGCCCAAGAAGTCCCCACGAGGCACCCAAGAGCCCCAAGAGAACCCCAAGAGCACCCCAAAGATGGCCCCAAGAGGACAAATCGTCGTCGTCGCCGTCACATCAAAACGTCCCCTCTCGCAATGCTTCCTCCATGGGGGCAGTTTGCGGGACCCCGGGCCATCAAAAGTCCGCTGATCCTGCGGGCGTGAGCGCGGGGACCTTCCACTCGAGACTCTTCCACTTTCTCTCTGATGGGGCCACCCGAAGCTCTGTTGCTTAGGCTCGCCAGCCCCGAGGGATATCGACCCAGGTCGTCATCGAGACGCCCCCTGGGAGGGGTCCCTTAGGGTTGTGGATGCCATGATAATGGACACTCTAACAATCCGATCATTGAATTGACCATGTGTTTAAACTGTATAGAAAATATGTTCTCACAATGTTTCAAACATACTGTACATAGTTAAAACATGCTTGCAACATTTTTAGACATCTGACAATTATTTGGCAGCATGCTTCCTCTCCATCAATCGACTGCCACAACCTTGGGGCCGGTCGAAGGGGGGGGGATGGCAGGGGGGGAGCCCTCCCCCTTGGCTTCCCTCCCCTGGGAGCTCCGAGCGCCAGGGAAGCCCAAGGGAAGAATCCCGGGGCACCCCGAGCCCCTCCCGAAGCGGGGGGGGCCCCTGTCAGAGGAAGAGCGACCTCCATAAGCAGAAATGTTCGGAGCTCCGCGCGGGTTTCTCGGATCTGCGCTGGGCACCCCTGCCTGGCGCGCGGAGCGCAGCGCGCCAGAACCGCCGATCCAAGAAGAACTCCGCGCGGACATCCGAGCGTTTCGGTTCATACACGCTTGTTGCTCTTTGACGTTCACCTCTCGAGTAGGGGATCGACTACATCATTGATTTGCCCCAGAATCCATGTTCTCGTCGAACTCATGAACAGTTCATGGAATGCTCATAAGTACCTTCGACGTTTTCTTCTTACGTTCTACGAACACACCAATTTCGGGATAACTCAGCTCAGTAGTCGATCTCGTACCCGACCCTCAAGACTTCGATCGCATTGGGGCCAGGACAGACTAAACGCTATGCTGCAGAGGTCCGCGGGCGGTCTCTCAAAAAGGGCGTTGGGCCCTCCCCTGCAGCCTCGGCCTCTGACGTGCCACTCCTGGCGCTGCGCACATTTCGGCGGAGGGGTGGCGGGAGGAGCTCTTGGGCGTCGCGTAATAGGGGGGATGAAATGGGGGGGCAGCGAGGCCTGTAGGGCCTTTCAGGGCCCACATGGGGGCATGTAGGGCCCGAAAAATGCACCTTCCTTGTCCCTCGATTCTCGCCTCCTCCCATGAAGCGCCGCCCAAAGCTCTGCTGTGGGTCCCACGACCAGGTGGTGAAAGACCGCGCGGCGACTTCCAACTCCCGCAGGACCTCACCACAAGGTCCCTCACTGCGCGGTTTTTGGGAGCCTGAAAGCCCCGGTCGCCCGTGACATCCTCGAAGGACCACCCAGGCCCCCAGACCGTGCGGGCACCCCGAATCCCCGTCGACTCGCCACACGGCGTGGTCACCACAACAACTGGGGGCTCCCGAGTCTGGCGAGCGAGCGAGCATCGCTCAAGGCATCCAGGGGGCTCGCGAGCGAGCTCGGCCAGGCATCCGGCGGGACACCAGGCGTCGGGGGGGGGGGCGGCGATCTTTGTGGAGCGCAGGCGGGGCTTGCGCAGGACACACGGACCGTTGGGGCAGAATCACTTTTATCATCGTGCGGTCGGGAACTCTGCTTCGCGCGTGCAGCGGCGGCGGCCCCGGCGACGCGCCATGCCTTGTGTCTCTCCGCTGCGCGGGGCGGGATGCTAGGAAAAACTCGGGACGCTGACGCTCCGGGACGACGGGACGTGGTGAGCGCGTCGCGCCGATGCGCGGGGGGCACGAACCAGCGGCGCGATACGCTAAGCCAAACTTCCTGACCGTGATGACCATGAGGCGCCGGCAGGAAAAGCCGTCCGTGGACGTTCTAAGTGTGTGCTTCTGTTGCGGGCAACTGCGGGCCTCGACGTCGACGGATCGGGGGAGTGCTGTCCCACCCTCGGCGAGAGCCCGCGGAAGGTCCGCGGCAGCCCGCGGAGATGAGGCGTTGAGAACACGTTGCGCCATGAGACAGGTGAGCATCTGGTGCCCAATGTTTTCAAAGTCGACTCAGCAGGAGGACGGGGAGGGAGGAGGCAATTCCCCGGGGTGCGCAGTGCTCCAGAAATCTCCTTCGTGTCCTGGAAAATTTGCAACACGAATCTCCCAAACGCCTCTGGCGCCATACCGTGAGCGCTCTGGGCTCTAGAGGCGACGCTACCCCACACTCCTCCTCCACACTCCTTAGGAGACCTTTGAGAATCTCCTGAAGCCATCGAAAGCGCTCGAGCACCTACGAGAGCCCCAGGAGACCTCCCAGAGCCTCCCCACAACCTCCCGTTCCTTTTCCTGTTTATGTCGGGCGGACATTAAGGTCAAGCTAGTTGCGTTCCTCGAGAGGAGAAATATGCGTGCGCCGGCTTAGGCATATGGTAACCCATCAAGGCTGCTGCCAGTGCGGATGCAAGAGATGCCAAACGAAATAGTAGAAGGTTCGGTGCCCATGCAGGCGCGGAGTAACGGAGCAGGCAGCATGTGGGAGTTGATCCTCCTCCTCCTCCTCCTCCTCCTCCTCCTGCTGCTGCTGCTGCTGCTGCTGATTCCTCCTTCTCCTCCTCCTTCTCCTCCTCCTCCTCCTCCGCCTCCTCCTCCTCCTACTCCGCCGCCTCCTCCTCCTCCTCCTCTCCTCCTCCTCCTCCTCCTCCTCCTCCTCCTCCTCTCCTTCCTCCTCCTCCTCCTCCTCCTCCTCCTCCTCCTCCTCCTCCTCCTCCTCCTCCTCCTCCTCCTCCTCCTCCTCCTCCTCCTCCTCCTCCTCCTCCTCCTACTCCTCCTCCTCCTCCTCCTCCTCCTCCTCCTCCTCCCCCCCCCCTCCTCCTCCTTTCGAAGGAAGAGCCCACGTAAGGCGGGGCGCCTGGATCGCCCAACGCCGCCGCGGGAGGAGGAGGAGGCAGAGAGGGCACAAGGGGCAGGGAGCCACAGAGAGGGGGGGGCCAGGGGAGGGATCCGGGCACCCGCTGACATCGGCGCGCAAAGGGGGGCGGGGGGAAGTAAGGGCAAAGGCGACATAGAAGGAGGCTGGTTCTTGGAAGGCGCTGGCCCTCCATCCACAGGGAAGGCCAACACCTTCTAAGAAGCAAGGGTGCTCCTGAAGAGCATCCCCCCCTCCCCCTACCCCCTTCTGCACGTGGCCGAAACATGGACTACGGATCCGTGGATCTGGCGTGGGCGCCAGATTCACGAATCTGCGAAGGCACCCCCCGAGACGTGAGGCCAGCTCCGCCCGATCTGGTGCCGGGGCGCGCCGGCTATGCAGGGGAGCGGGGCCCGTCGCTCATCCACGTGCCCGAACTTCTATCCGTGCGTAAAGCAGAGATCTGACCTATCCGACCTTCATCCGCGCAGCTGTTTCAGCTCCAGGTGCAGCTGTGAGACCGCCCGTCTTGTCACACCCTTCCTCCTCCTCCTACTCCTCCTCCTCCTCATTCATCCACTCTTCCTCCTCCTCCTCCTCCTCCTCCTATTCCTCCTCCTCCTCCTCCTCCTCCTCCTCCTCCTCGAGACTTTGGCCGCCGCCCGCCGCCCCCACAGCGCCCCCCCCAAAGCTCGTCCAAGGAAGCCTTCGCGGCGGACGGCTTGACTCCGCGCCTGCTGCTGCGCCCCTGTCCTCATTGATAACACACTCCTCCGTGTCGCACCCCCAGACGTGTCGGTAGGGCGGGCCGGGCGTTTCGCCTGATACCCTCTCGCCATTTATGATCCTGAAGCTTCGGGTGTCGCAATAGCTTCGAGGATAGAGGGTGGGTGGTTTTCAACATGTGGCTCTCGCCTTCGCGCAGCACGCATTCGTTTAGCCAACATTAAACAGCCTCAAGTATTGAGGGCGGGTGGTTTACCACAAAGGCCCTCGCCTTAGCGCCCCGCGCATTCGTCTTGCACGGGTGCAACAGTTTCAAGGATGGAGGGCGGGTCCTCTTCAAACTGTGGTCCCCGCCTTAGCGCCGCGCACATTCGTCTTAAAACGTTGCAGCAAGTTCAGACATGGAGGACGGCTCGTTTTCAAAAGGTGGTTGCCGCCGTAGCGTTCCGCGCATTCGTCTTCAAACTCTACAGATTTCCTTTTCAAAATGTGGTTCGCGCCTTAGCGCCGCGTAAGTTCGTCTTCAATTCCAAGGATTCGTTAGGTGGACGTCCCAGGGATGGTGTTCTAGCGCTATCAAAACATGCGAGGACGCAGCAATCACGTTGATTCGCGGCGTTGGAGTCCAAACAAACATGTTCCGACACGTTCTAGGATTGTCAGGACGAACCGGTCGCGTCAAGTCGCGGCGTTGAAGTTCCAGGTAGCGTAATCGTCTTTCGGAAAGACTGAGGATTCTCACACGGTCGTCTTCTAAATTGGCACTTCCGACGATCGAACATTACATTGTAGAGACCCATGAAGAGGAACCTTGGAGGGAGGGCTCCTTGCAACATCGTCGATGCACCTTGGGTAGACGCGGGTCCTCCTCCACCTCCTCCTCCTCCTCCTCCTCCTCCTCCTCCTGCGAGGAAGCGGCAGGGAGGGCATGGAGGAGGAGCACCAACCCCGTGAGCGCAACAACTCCTGGGTGACAGTGGACCGAAAGGCCGCCTTGCGGGTGCGGGCGCGGATGGCCTGTACGGCGCAGGCCCGCCTGATAAACCTGATGGTGCCTGCGGGCGGCACTGAAGGAGTGCACGGAGGAGGATGAGGAGGAGGCGTAGGAGGAGGCGTAGGAGGAGGATGAGGAGGAGGAGGAGGAGGAGGAGGAATAGTGGGAGGAGAGGGAGGAGGAGGATGAGGAGGATGAGGAGGAAGAGTGGGAGGAGAGGGAGGAGGAGGAGGAGGAGGAGGAGGAGGAGGAGGAGGAGGAAGAGGCGGAGGAGGAGGAGGAGGAGGAGGAGGAGGTCGGGGCAGCACTCTTCCGCCTCCCGGCCTCCCTCCTCCCGAGCGGGCCGTGCAGGCCCACGGGCGTCACGGCCGACGCCGGGGGGGGGGCGGCGGCCGCAGGCCCGGGGACGCCGCGCCTCCCCGCCGCGCGTCTGCACCAAGATGTTCCCCGCGTGCCTGTCGGTGTTGCACAGCCTGGCCGGGCTCTGGTCCGGTCGCGGGATCGCCGCCCTCGCCTCCCGCGCGTCCTCCCAAAGAGGTCTCTCACAGCGTGGCTCCTCAAAGGTCTGGGCCTGTTCCTGGAGATCGGCACTTCCCTCCTCGCAGTCGCTTCCTGATTGCCCTATGGGTTCCGATGAGGGAGGGCCCCCCGAGCCCGAAAGTTCCCAACAGCTCCTCCCCCTCCCCCTTTTGTCCTGGTTATCATCCTCCTGCGCGGCAAAAAACGGGTCTTACACGAGATGGCACAGCGGCCTCACGCGGCGGCTTGCGCGGGCCGCCAGCGCGGCACGCCACATTGGAAGCGAGGGCACTTACGCGCGACCTTACGCGGGCAGCTGACGCGCCAATGTCGGCGCAGCCGAGCCCGTCGTTCTGCGTCGCTCTCCCGTCCCCTTCATCAGCTCCTCGAATCTCCTCTATCCACGCCCCCCCCCACCTGTCCCTCACGTGCTCGCCCTCCCCCCCGCCTCTTCCTCCCCCACTGAATCCTCCTCGTCTCGTCCGCCCCTTGCCCGCTCTCCCGCTTCCCCTTCGCCCCCTCCTCGCCCTCCCCCCCCCTCTCCCCAAAGATCCGCTGCATAGATTATCTGGGGCCGGGCGAAAAGGGGGGATAGCCAATTGGCGGGGTTGAGACTCAGCTCACGTAGCTGATTCTCAGGAGTGGGCCCGGCGGCGGGGCCGAAACCAGCTGCATGCAGCAGAGTTCGTACCCCCCCTTTCCCTATCCCCCCCCCCGTTCGTTCGGCCCGATTATCTCAATACGGGGCTCCCGATGTCCCCACCCTTTCCCCAGGGCCGGCGCTTCGTCCTGAGTCGTTTTTCGACGGCTTCGGTGCCTGGCGAGGGCCCGCAGAGAGGCCGACGACTAGACTAGTTTTACAAAACCTCCGACTTGATCGCTCAACGCGCTGAAGATCTTGGCCCCTCTCTCCCCCTGCCTCGTCGAGAGGAACAAAACACACAAACATACACTTTCGACGGTCCGCGCGGACTTCTGGGGCAGTGTGGGACCTGGGGCTCTCGGCAGACGGAATGAACAACTGCATTCACAGAAACTTGTTGTTGCGTCGGCGAGGCAAGGTCCACATCAACGGGGGGGTACCGTGGTAGCGAGTTGTGCCACCATGCAAGAGGGAGGGGGAAAAACGGAAGGGAGTACCGTTGTAGCGAATTGTGCCACCATGCAGGAGGGAGGGGAAAAAGCAGAGGGGGCCCCCCTCCCCCACATCAACACGAGCATGCACTTTTCGGAGCTCCGCGCGGACCAGGGGCGACGCCGCAGGCGCCGCAAGAGGGGCCCAGCGCCAATCCAAGAGATCTGCGCGGAGCGCCGACTGTTTATGTTTATGCAATTATTTCTGCTTCGGATCCTTTCCCATCCTTCCTCCTCCTCCTCACCCTCCCTCCTCCTTGCTTCCCCTCCTCCTTCCTCCCTTCGATCGTCCTCCTCCTCCCTCCTTCCTCCTCCCCCCGCTCCCTCCTCCTGCCTTCCCCTCCTCCTCCCTCCTTCGACCGCCCTCCTCCCTCCTCCTCCCCCCTCCCCCCCCCCCGCGGGCAGCAGTCCGTATGTCCAGGGCCGCGAGGCGGTGCACCTGGTCGACGGGGAAGAGGCCGGGGCCCATGTCCTCCGCGCGGCAATGGGCGGGCGCGCGGCTTCTGCGGCAGCTCCCGAGACCCTCCCATGCCATCCTGTTGGCCATCGCTCGGACGTCCATTCCCTGTGTTTTTTTTCGGTTTCGTGCGTGTTCTTTTTCTTTTTTTTTCGCAGGATGATCCAGGATGCTCCTTCATAACCCCCGCCGAGAAAAAATGCACACGTCGGAGCGATACCAAATCCTGTTGGATCTTGCGGATCGACTCTGGTCGGCGCTGAATCGGCGCTACAGGCACGTCTAAAAAGGATGCGCGGTAAGGATGCAAGGGCCTTGGGGCCATGCCGAGTTTTTCGAACGAGGTTGGCCAACGAATGTGGCCAAGGATGGGCAGAGGGGGCAAGAATGCAAGGTTGACCTTGGAAAGTCGCTCATCCTTACTATGCGGCGCCAGTGCACCCAGAAGACGAAGCGACGAGGGTATACACACAAAAGGCTCCCGTGGCTTGATGTCGAACGCGGCGGCGGGAGGGAGGGCTGGGAGCAGCGGGGAGGCTCGGTGACCGAGGACCGCGCGTTCGAGAGAGCGCCTCAACATGAAGGCCTCCAAAGAGCGGCCGCCAGAGCAACCAGACGGGGTCGGAGGATCGCGCTACACCGCCGATGCGTCGGCGATGCGTGGGCGATGCATCGGCGGAGTCAGCGATGCATCGGCGACGTCGGCATAGAGAACATCGGGCTCAACATCGAGCCGCATCGGCGGTGCATCGGCGATGCGGCACGATTCTCCGAACCCAAGTCGTCCGGCCCCATCCAGGAGGCCTGGATTGGAGATTAGAGGATGTCTTACTTTCCGGGTTAAGTTTTCTGGTTTGCCAACTCCTGGACCTCGGGATGACCTATGGGATCTCCGGGATCTATGAGACCTCCAGTGAGGAAGAGACGGCATCGAGGTGGGCGCCTGGTACGCTATGTCGGCCTCGAGGCGCCACCGCCGTGGCCCAGGCCGTCAACGAATGACCCGATATGACCCACATGCCCCAGGGAGGGGGTCCAGAGCTCCAGGGGCAGGGGATTGGAGAAGGCGCGGGGTCGCAGGTGTGGGAAGGAGAGGGCCGAGTCGGGGCTGCTCACCGTCTCGCACTGGCGTGGCTCGCAGCTGGCTCACGAAGCACCGTGCAGCACCTCGCGCAAAGAGGGGCAGAGCACGCCGCAGAGCCGCACACCAACCCGCTGCATTCACGCCCCAGGAGTAGGGAGCCCACAAAGGACGTACGCGCCCAGCTATGTACATGAACACGGCCCCTCGATTCGCGAGACAGACCGCATGATACGAACATTTGAGCAATGCGTGCTCTCGAAACCAGCGTGGATTCATGTACATGTACGTCCTTCTTTCGCTCCTGAAGGAGAAACCCGCCGGGCCTTCTCCCCAGCCAACCTCGGCTCAGCCATGTGGTAGGTCTCAGCCGAGGTTGGCTGGGGAGAAGGCCCGGCGGGTTTCTCCTGGGGCGTGAATGCAGCGGGTTGGTGTGCGGCTCTGCGGCGTGCTCTGCTCCTCTTTGCGCGAGGTGCTGCACGGTGCTTCGTGAGCCAGCTTCGAGCCACGCCAGTGCGAGACGGTGAGCAGCCCCGCCACCGCCCTCCTCCTCCTCTTCTTCCGTCTGCCTCGCTCCACTCCCCTCTTCGTTCTCCAGTCGTCGTTCTCCTCCTCTCCCCCCTTCCCTCCGTCTCTCATCTCCTTCTTCTGATAATAGATTATTTGAACGTTCCTCCTCCTCCTCCTCCTCCTCCTCCTTCTCTCCTCCCTCCGTCCCTCATCCTCCTGCTCCTTCTCTCCTTCTCTCCTCCTCTTCCTCCTCCTCGCCCTCATGCTCGAACTACTTTTGCTCTCCCCACCTCAACCGACGACGACGACGACGACGACGACGACGACGACGACAACGACGACATCGCACACACCGTCGTCGACGACGACGAAGATGGCGCCAAGGACCGAGACGACCACGGCTGCAGCGACGGCGCCGAAGATGGCGGCGCCAGAGACGACGAAGACGACGGCGGACTGGCGGGGCGAAGGTCGCCTCCGAGGTACAGTCGTGCTGCGCGAAGACCTGGAAGCTGCCGACCTGGCGGCGCCGGAAGGCGTCCTACAGCAAGCACATGCGAGCATTTGTTACGGATCCTTGGATCTGGCGCGTGGGCGCCAGCGGCCAGATTCATGGATCAAAGAAGGACCCTCCAGACAAAATGGGGCCAGTGTAGCTACATTTGGCGACAGAGCGCGTCGATTTCGCATGGAATCGGGACCCGTCGCTAATCCACGCGCCCCAATCTATGTTTGCGATTCCCCGATCCGATGCGATAGCGCAAATGTTTTAAGAACCCCCCTCCAACTGAGCATCCATCAGACCTGCAAGGTAAACCAACATGTTCAACACCGGCCACCATCCATGCGTGCAGCAGTCGGAAAATCCAGCTTTGGACCGTGGAACTCAACTCTCAAGAAAGACTGACGGACCGCGCAAAAACAAACGAACGCGCCTGGTATGGCAGCGAGCAATGTGTATGTGGTTGTGTGGGCTGGGCCGCGCGCTCCCGCCTGCCATAACCTACGCCGCGCAGCCGCGCGTGGCCGCGAGCAAAAATGTGTTGCGCGCGCATGTGTTACAGGGAAGGCCCCTCACGTCGACACATGCGTAGCCTCGTCGGCATGCTCCCCGTGCATTCGCTTCTTGCGTTTGTCTGCATGCGTCAATTGTCATCCTGACCCCATCTAAACCGCCACGCGGTAATTGAGCTAAGCGCGGCCCACCTGGTACACGCTGCGGTGGTGTCACCAGGCCGCTGGAGGAGAAGTGTGTGTTCAAGGAACGGGTTGAGCACGAGGACGCCGGGGAAGTGGGTCAGAAGGCAGGGAGGGCGGCAGCGATGCAGGACAGAACGACGAGCACCCATAGAGTCAGAGGCCAACGTGTCTCGACCCTCTGCTTTGGCTGGCCCCTGGACCTGTACGCCGCAGCCGAGTGGCGTGCGGCACCTGCTTCCGCGCGCTGCCATGGCCTGGTAGTTCCAGCGCTCCCCCCGGCACGCGGTCTGCGCCCTGGAAGGTTTGCTGGCTGGAGGGGGACTCTGGAGTACGCATCAGCCTGTCTCAAGGGGTGCTGGAGGAGAAGGGGGACGCTGACGAGGGGAGGTGCGAGGCCGGAGCTCCTGCATGCCCACCGCCCTGGGAGCCGATGTTCTCGGACCCCAGAGGGCGGTAGACATGCTGGATCCCCCGCCTCGGCGTTGCCATCGCTGGGGACGTCCACTCCACGTGCACCTTTCGATCTCGTGCGTGCTTTCTTCGCAGGCTGATCCAAGATCCTCCTCGCTGGTCCTGGCCGAGGAAAAAAGGCCCACGTCCGCGCGATGCCAGGAGGGAAGGCGAGGGAGGTGCGGGCGGCGGGCGGGCGCGAGCCTCCCTCGGCAGCGCCGGGCGCGCGGGGGCGGCGGGCGGGGGCGGCGAGGCGGCCCAGGGGGCCCTCCGCTCCCGACGCACGTTCTCCACCTCCTCCGTCGTGCTCCCGCCGCCCCACCCCCCCATGGGCTTGCTGGCCCCGACGAGCCCGGAAGAAGGGAGGGCGGCGGAGGAGGGGGGAGGAGGAGGAGGAGGAGGAGGAGGAGGAGGAGGAGGAGGAGGAGGAGGAGGAGGAGGAGGAGGAGGAGGGAGGAGGATGAGGAGGATGAGGAGGAGGAGGAGGAGGAGGAGGAGGAGGAGGAGGGCGGACGCCCGAGCGGCAGTGCTGTGTCGTGGTGCCGCGTGCGCCCTCCGCGCCTGCCGTCGTGGCGCACGCACGGAAATTGCGCCACGGGGCCGCGCCAATTGGCGCATGCCGGGGCAGTGAGGGCCCTGTGCAGCGGGGTGGCCGTGTGAAGCGCCAGGCGCAACGGTGCGGCGAGTCCGACGGGTCCCACGGGCATCTTCGACGTAGTGCTTCTTGTTCCTGGCCCTGCGCCCCAGACAGGGACGGGCAACCTCACCCATACATCCTTTTCTGGGATCTACTTTCGTTGCCCCCCTGTTTCCCCCTTCTTCACCTCCCTCCTCCTCCTCCTTCTCCTCCTCCTCCTCCTTCTCCTCCTCCTCCTCCTCCTCCTCCTCCTCCTCCTCCTCCTCCTGCCGCGCACGACGCAAATTTCGGGACCCCCGCCGTGCCGCCTCGCCCGCAAGGCGGCGAGCACAGACTGGCATTGCCTCCTTTCGGCCGCGCGCTCCGCCGCGTGGCGTGGGTGAGCGAGTGAGGGGACGAGGTGGAGACCGGGGGGGCGGGGGGGGGGAGCCCAGACCCCCGACGTCGTGAATTTTTCATGACGTCGACTGGACCCATTCCCCGGGATCGGTTTTTCGTCCTGAGCCGTTTCTTGACGGTCCTGAGGGCCGGTAAGGGCCCCCAGAGGCCAAAAATAATGAAAAACCTCCCGTCGTGATTTTTTATAACTCGAGGGGGTCTGGGAGGAGGGCCCCACCGGGAGTCAGGCGCGGCCTTGTCCTTGATCTTGCGGAAGGCGCTGTGGCGGTCCTCGTTGGCGGAGTGGAAGGCCGAGTCCTCGCGCACCGCGCGGACTCGGCGCGGCCCGGGAGGGAGGCAAGGGCGAGGTCCGACCGCCGCTGCTCATCCCAAGGCTGAACCTCAATGGTGTCTTTCGTTTTCGCTGTGTTATTATTCCTTCCTCGTTTTGCCTTCGCTTCGCCTCAAAATCAGAACAGAACGAAAAACAAGACGGCCCACGAGATGGCCAAAACACCGTTGAGGTGCAGCCCCGGCTGATCCCGTCTCTTGGCGGTCGGCGCTGGGGCGACGAGACCTGTACATGTCCACCGCCGCTGAATGGGCCCATCCAGGGCTCCGAGGCGGTGTAGACGCCTCCCTGGCCAAGCCAGGAGGGCGTATACACGGCTCCTGGGCCCAGGATGACCCTGGCCAGGGGCAGTGGACATGTGCAGATCTCGTCGCCCTAGGCGCGCACAGCAAGGGGGGCGGGGATGGGCGAGGGTGGGCGGGACGTGTGTGTGGGTGGGTGGGGGGGGGGGGGGGCAGCCTCCTCAGATGGCAGGGGGCCCTTGACGAGGGTGCCGCCCCCGCTCGCAGTGTGCAGGGCCTGGGTGGCAAGGAGGCCCGCAGGGGAACCAGAACCTGCGGACGGCTCGATGGAGTCGGAGTCCAGGAAGCCGGGGGCTCGCATCGCAGGCTTCCTTGCACTCGAAGGCGCGTCTCTGCACAGCCCACCACAAGGTTAACGATCGAGCCCCCTCGGAGTCCGAGTCCGTTCCGCCGCCGAACGGATGCGGGATCGAGGGAGCTCCGAGCGGGTGAAGTCCTGCAGCGCCAGAGGCGCCCATGTACGGCAGATTCGTGTCGTCACGACCTCGGCGTTGGATCCTAACACCGCGTGGACCGTTCAAACCGATTGGCGGGGTGCCACGCCACCTGCCGGGCGGCCCTCGCACCGCAACGCCAGCAGGCCCGGGGCGCCCTCCGCCCACTCGCCAGGCGACCCGCCTCCCTCTGGGAAAGCTGTCCCTCCTCCTCCTCCTCCTCCTCCTCCTCCTCCTCCTCCCCCCCCCCCCCCCTCCTCCCTCCTCCTCCTCCACCTCCTTCTCTCCTCCTCCTCCTCGCCGCTCTCCTCCTCCTCCTCCTCCTCCTACTCCTCCTCCTCCTCCTCCTCCTCCTCCTCCTCCTTCCTCCCTCCTCCTCCTCCTCCTCCTCCTCTCCTCCTCCTCCCTCCTCCTCCTCTCCTCCTCCTCCTCTCCTCCTCCTCCTCCTCCTCCTCCTCCTCCTCCTCCTCCTCCTCCATCCTCCTCTCCTCCTCCTCCTCCTCCTCTCCTCCTCCTCCTCCTCCTCCTCCTCCCTCCTCCTACCTCCTCCTCCTCCTCCTCCTCCCTCCTCCTCCTCTCCTCCTCCTCCTCCTCCTCCTCCTCCTCCTCCTCCTCCTCCTCCACCTCCTCCTCCTCCTCCTCCTCCTCCTCCTCCTCCTCCTCCTCCTCCTCCTCCTCCCTCCTCCTCCCCTCCCGCGTGGAGCGATTGGCGGCTTCCCCATCACCAGATCGGCTCTGGGCCACCAGCGGCGTTTCACCTCGAGGCCCGCGGCGGGGTGGCTGCCGCGTCGCCGCGGCACGAGCACACTGCACCGAGGACGGCAGGCTCCCCCCAGCATTAATCAGGGGGACGTCGAACTGCTGATGCCTGGCCGAACTTTCGCTTGAATCTGATGTGAGCTGTCGCTTAGCTGGGGCTCGCATCGTTTGTGTCGACTTTGCTAGGCGTTGCCAAGCGTGTCGCAGAAACCCCGGTTCCAGAATCAGGGGGACGTAAGACCTGGGTGCAGGGGACTCGGAAATCCCCGACGAGGTCGTCAAAAAAATGACGAGGCCGAGCCTGCATTTTGACGAGGCCTCCCGCTGCAGACGTCCCACGAAACTCCTCCTCGTCAAAATCCGAGTCGCGGTCGTCAAAAAACGATGGCGAACCCGAGTCCTGGCAAACCCGGGTCTTACGCTCCCCCGAATTAAGTCGGGCGTGTCCCCCTACCGGGGCATCTTCGACGAGAAATAAACGATACGCAGCAAATCTTCAAAGATGGCCCAAAAATGCTCAAAAGATAGTCCCCAGAGAATAGCTGCTCTCTATCTTTGAAGATTCCTCCTGTGGACGGACGGGCCCGACGTGACACCCCAGCACGGAGGCGCGAGGGCGATGGGTGCTCCACGAGGAAGGCGGCCCTCCCCCCCTGCCGTCGCCCTGCAGTGTGCAGAGGTGGGGCCTCCCGGTGCGGGCAGGCCCCCCGCTGCCCGAGGGCCCTCTCGGACAGGCCCGCTGGTGGCGCGCGGGGAGGGGCCCTGACTCCGGATCCGCCCTACTTTGGCTCTTTTTCCAACTTAAAATTGCGTCGGAAATCCACCTAGAAGGAGCCGAAAAAGTAGGGCGGAAATTGCTGCACCAAACATAAAATGGTGCGAAAATCCACAGAAGTAGGGCGGAAACAACAACAGAAAAATGAGGCGGAAATTGGCATCAGCGGGGCTTGAAAAGTAAGGCGGAAATTCCAAGCCCTACTTACGAATTTCCCCAAAGTAGGGCGGATCCGGAGTCAGGGAGGTGCCTTCTCCCCAGACCCCCTCGAGCAATGAAAAAATCACGACGGGAGGTTTTTTCACCATTTTCGCCCTCGGGGCCCTTACCGGGCCTCGGGGCCGTCAAAAAACGATTCGGGATGAAAAAACGATCCCGGGGAATAGGTCGAAACCTCTGGTCGAGCAATGAAAAAATCACGACGGGAGGTTTTTGTCACCATTGTCGCCCCCTCGGGGCCCTTCCCAGGCCTCGGGGCCGTCAAAAAACGAGTCGGGATGAAAGACCGGTCCCCGGGAATAGGTCGAAACCTCTGGGGGTCGACGTCATGCAAAAAACATGACGTCGGGGGCTTGGGCCGGGAGGCCACCGCCCTCGCCCTGACGGGGGGGCGGAGAGGCTCAATGGGCCCTGGAAACGACAGGGCCGTTTTTGTTTCCGGTTCCCAGTAGTGCAGCATAGACTCATAGAGGAGGAGGAGGAGGAGGAGGAGGAGGAGGAGGAGGAAGAGGAGGAGGAGGAGGAGATCTCCCAGCGCCGTGGATTCCGAAGAGGCCGTTCTGCTGCTTTTGTTGCCGGTCCCGACGCCGTTTCTTTTACCGGCTCCGTCGCCGTTCTTTTTTGCGGGTTCCCGCTCCGGTTCCGATCCTGGAGCCGTTTCTGTTGCCGTTTCCGGTCGCCGTCTTTTTTCCCTTCCCATTTTGAAGGGTCACTTTTTCGGCAACGGTGAAAAAACGGCCCTGCCGTTTCTGGGGCCCACTAAGGGCGGAGGTGCTGACGGGATGCCGTGGGAAACCCAGACCGCGTTTCGCTCTGCTTCGGCATCTGAAGGGGGCGACACTGAAGATCACTGGAGTGGCGCGTGAACCACTTTGAAATGCTCGTTTGGTCGAGGGCTGTGGGGGCCCTCCTCCTTCCTGCGCCTTCCGCTTCTCCTTTCCGTCCCAACTAGTGTGCTCCTCTCCCCCTCCCCGGTCTCCCCCTCTGGAGGCCTACTACGTGGGTCGGAGCAGATGGGGCCGGAGGGTCGCGCGGCATCGCCGATACATCGCGATGCATCGGCGGTATATCGGCGACGTCGGCGATGCATCGGTGACGTCGTCGTGAAGCAAACCGGGCTCCACATATAGGGGAGCAAAGAATAACATAAACATAAACACTCGGAGGCCCGCGCGGATTTCTCGCATCGGCGCTGAACCCCCCTCCCTGGCGCGCGGAGCGCGCTAGGGGCGGCGCCGGAGGCGCCGCCAGGGGGGTCCAGCGCGGATCCGAGAAATCCGCGCGGACCTCGAGGATCCGAGTTGTGATGTTTATGTCACTCGTCGTTCCCCTAACATCGAATGGAGGCCGGGCAGAAGCGCCGGGGGCGCCGAGCCACCCAGAAGCGGGGCGCGCCGAGCCTGGCCAGGCCCGCCCCGGGCAGGCCGGGGCCCAAGGGCACGCAGATAAAGACACACAGAAATAGCAAGATTCCCCACCTTTTCACATATTTTTGGTGTTTTTGTCCTCCCGCCCAATTCCCATATTTTCCCATATTTTCTTGGGGATCGACGATGAATTGTGCCTGTGTGTTTTTCCCCTCCTGACCCATGGGCAGCCCCTCCCAGACCTCTTCGGGAGGCGGCCTGCGTCCTGGAAGGGCGCGCCCCCCGTGGCCCTGCGCCGAACACGCTCGGGCCGCTCCGGAGGCCTCGGGCCAAGCAGCAAGCGACCTCCAGGTCGGCCCCGCTGGGGCGAGGCAGGCATCCGGGCAACGACACGGGTAGGAAGTCGCGGGCACTCCCCGCTTCGCCAGCCTTGCATTGCTAGTGCCACCTCCAGAAAGGCCCCGCCAAGTCGAGGCAGGCATCCAGATGCCATGTCATCTGCCAAGCTTCGGGCCCTCCCCACTCCGCCAGCCCTGCCAATGCCACCTACAGGAGGGCCCCGCCGAACCGAGACAGGCAGCCGGATGACGTGTTCTCTGTCGAGCTTCGGGCCTTCCCCACTCCACCAGCCTTGCCAATGCCATCTCCAGGGAGGCCCCGCCAGACCGAAGCAAGCATCCGGATACCATGTTATCTAGAAAGGTCCGGGCCCTGCCCACTTCACCAGACTCGGCAATACCATCTCCAGGGCGGCCCAACCAAACCGAGGCAGGCATCGCGATACCGTGCGATGCATCAAATTTCGAGCCCTCCCCACTCCACCGGCCTCGCCCGGTGCCAAAGCCAGGGATCCAAAGACCGTGTCATCTGTCAGGCGTCGTGCCCTCCGCACCACCAGCCCCGCCAGTGCCGCCTCCGGGCAGGCCCAGCCAGACCGAGCCATCGGTCACCCGCATACCCTGCTATTCATCAGGCCTCGTGCCGCCCCCACCCCACGAGCCTCGCGGCGCCACGGCGGGCACGGCCACGGCGGGGTCGGGCCACGACGGGCTCGGGCCACGGCGGGGGGCGGCCACGGCGGGGTCCGGACCCCGCCGTGGCCGCGCCCGACGACGCCAACGACGCGACGACGACGCGAACGAGGCAGGCTTCGGGGCTGCAGGAGCCGAGAGCGGCCGAGGACTGGCCGTGTCGCGATCTATGTTCTGCCTGCGCCGCCTGGATCTGAGGATGGGGCGAGGCCCTCTCCGCATCGCCCGCGTGAGCGGGAACGTCCGGGGGGACTGGCCATCGCTCGGACGTCCATTCCCTGTGTTTTTTTCGGTTTCGTGCGTGGTGTTTTTTTTCCCAACCATCCTGTGGTGTTGGGTCCTCGTTTTGAAGAGACGGTGCCCGCGTCCTCTCCTCTCCTCCTCTCCTCCTCTCCTCCTCCTCCCCCTCCTCCTCCCTCCTCCTCCCTCTCCTCCCTCCTCTCTGCGTTTCACCCACCCATTACAGCGCTTCGTGGCCCCATAGGGAGCTCCACCGAAGGCCCCAGTGGGGGTGTTCGCATGCGGTTCCCCCACCCAGGGCAGCGTTTCGTAGCCCCATAGGGAGCTCCACCGAAGGCCCCAGTGGGGGTGTTCGCATGCGGTTCCCCCACCCAGGGCAGCGTTTCGTGGCCCCATAGGGAGCTCCACCGAAGGCCCCAGTGGGGGTGTTCGCATGCGGTTCCCCCACCCAGGGCAGCGTTTCGTAGCCCCATAGGGAGCTCCACCGAAGGCCCCAGTGGGGGTGTTCGCATGCGGTTCCCCCACCCAGGGCAGCAGCGTTTCGTGGCCCCATAGGGAGCTCCACCGAAGGCCCCAGTGGGGGTGTTCGCATGCGGTTCCCCCACCCAGGGCAGCGTTTCGTAGCCCCATAGGGAGCTCCACCGAAGGCCCCAGTGGGGGTGTTCGCATGCGGTTCCCCCACCCAGGGCAGCGTTTCGTGGCCCCATAGGGAGCTCCACCGAAGGCCCCAGTGGGGGTGTTCGCATGCGGTTCCCCCACCCAGGGCAGCGTTTCGTGGCCCCATAGGGAGCTCCACCGAAGGCCCCAGTGGGGGTGTTCGCATGCGGTTCCCCCACCCAGGGCAGCGTTTCGTGGCCCCATAGGGAGCTCCACCGAAGGCCCCAGTGGGGGTGTTCGCATGCGGTTCCCCCACCCAGGGCAGCGTTTCGTAGCCCCATAGGGAGCTCCACCGAAGGCCCCAGTGGGGGTGTTCGCATGCGGTTCCCCCACCCAGGGCAGCGTTTCGTGGCCCCATAGGGAGCTCCACCGAAGGCCCCAGTGGGGGTGTTCGCATGCGGTTCCCCCACCCAGGGCAGCGTTTCGTGGCCCCATAGGGAGCTCCACCGAAGGCCCCAGTGGGGGTGTCGCATGCGGTTCCCCACCCAGGGCAGCGTTTCGTAGCCCCATAGGGAGCTCCACCGAAGGCCCCAGTGGGGGTGTTCGCATGCGGTTCCCCCACCCAGGGCAGCGTTTCGTGGCCCCATAGGGAGCTCCACCGAAGGCCCCAGTGGGGGTGTTCGCATGCGGTTCCCCCACCCAGGGCAGCGTTTCGTAGCCCCATAGGGAGCTCCACCGAAGGCCCCAGTGGGGGTGTTCGCATGCGGTTCCCCCACCCAGGGCAGCGTTTCGTGGCCCCATAGGGAGCTCCACCGAAGGCCCCAGTGGGGGTGTTCGCATGCGGTTCCCCCACCCAGGGCAGCGTTTCGTGGCCCCATAGGGAGCTCCACCGAAGGCCCCAGTGGGGGTGTTCGCATGCGGTTCCCCCACCCAGGGCAGCGTTTCGTGGCCCCATAGGGAGCTCCACCGAAGGCCCCAGTGGGGGTGTTCGCATGCGGTTCCCCCACCCAGGGCAGCGTTTCGTAGCCCCATAGGGAGCTCCACCGAAGGCCCCAGTGGGGGTGTTCGCATGCGGTTCCCCCACCCAGGGCAGCGCTTCGTAGCCCCATAGGGAGCTCCACCGAAGGCCCCAGTGGGGGTGTTCGCATGCGGTTCCCCCACCCAGCGGCAGCGTTTCGTGGCCCCATAGGGAGCTCCACCCCCGGAGCATGCGGTTCCCCCACCCAGGGCAGCGTTTCGTGGCCCCATAGGGAGCTCCACCGGAGGCCCCAGTGGCTGCTCTCGCATGCGGTTCCCCCACCCAGGGCAGCGCTTCGTGGCCCCATGGGGAGCTCCACCGAAAGCCCCCGTGGCGCAGTTCGCATGCGCTTCCCCCACCCAGGGCAGCGTTTCGTGGCACCATAGGGAGCTCCACCGAAGGCCCCAGTGGCGCAGTTCGCATGCGGTTCCCCCACCCAGGGCAGCGTTTCGTAGCCCCATAGGGAGCTCCACCGAAGGCCCGCCCCGGTGGCGCAGTCCGCATGCGGTTCCCCCATCCAAGGCAGCGTTTCGTGGCCCCATATGGAGCCCCACCGAAAGCGGCACCCACAACGCGTTACCAACAATTGCTTATGGTTGGGTCTTTCGCCAGGATAATTTTTCTCCCAAATGATCAAGATTGCTCCTCGATGGTCCTCGCCGAAGGAAAAATGCACACGTCCGAGCGATGCCAAGCAGGGGGGACTGGCCCAGGGGGGGGGGCCCAACAACATCGGCGATGCATCGCCGACAGACCGGCGGTAGGCACCCTAGCTCTCCTGGGCGGGGTGGGGTATCGAGCCCCTGTCGGCGATCAGTGGGCGATGGGGGGTCGATGTATCCCCCCCTCGGGCTACCCTCCTCCCTGACGATGCCCCTGACCGCACTCCCTAGGGTTATCATTCTTCCATACAGCGTCGACCCTCAAAGGCCTCGACCCGTTCCCCGGGATAGGTTTCTCATCCCGAGTCGTTTTTCTCCACGGTCCCGAGGCCCCAGAGCCCCCAAAGGCCTCTAAAATCCGCCGACCCTGCCGGCGCGTGTGCGGGGCTTGTCCGTTCAAGTCGGCATCTCCTTGATTCGCTGGTCGTCGTCTCTGTCGTCCCCTTTCCCTGCCTCCCCCCTCTCCGTGGGCTCGGCGAAGCTCCCCCCTTTCCCCAGGGACCTCCTCAGCGCGCCAGACAGAGCAAAGGTGAACAATGTGGTAATTGAGTCGAAGGGAAACCCCTTCCCTTCGATCCCTCCCCCGCGGGGGGGGGAAGGTCCCGGGCTGGGGGGTCAGACGCCCCCCCTGGGAGTCCCGGAGCTCAAAAAAGCCCCAAGACGAGCCAAGAGTGCCCCAAGAGGCCCCCAATGATAGTCCAAGAGAACCCCGAATCGCCGAACTATCTGTCCGAGCCGCCTTGACGGCCTCCAGACGGCCCAAGAGGCCTGCAAAGCGCCCCAAGAGGCCTCCAGGAGCTTTCCCACGATAGCCCCAAGAGACAAAATTCATGGATTTCCTTTACGTTTTTGGAAGAAATGGCGTTCTTGCCTCTTCCGCCGCTTCACGACGCGCTAAGACGGACCAAGAGGCCCCCAAGAGGGTCCCCTAACGGCCGAAGAGGGCCCCAAGACGGCCCAAGACGCCTCCAAGACGGCCCAAGAGGCCCCCAAGACGGCTCCAGGAGAGTGCCCAGACGGGGGACCCGAACGGACATTTCGAGCTCTCAGCTCCAAGAGGCCCCCAAGAGGCCCCGAAGAAGCCCCAAGAGGCCCCAAGAGGCTCCCAAGGGGCCCCCGAAATGCCCCAAGACAGCCCAGGAGAGCCCCAAATTGCCCAGGAGGCCTCCAAGAGTGCCTCGAGACGGCGCAAGAGGAGCCCTGGACGGCCCAAGACGGCCTCAAGAGAGCCCCAGGCTGTCCCAAGAAAGCATCTGGCCTCCTCCTCTTCCTCCTCCTCCTCCTCCTCCTCCTCCTCCTCCTCCTCCTCCTCCTCCCCCCTCTGCTCCCCCTCCTCCTGTTCTCCTCTGCCTCCTTCTCCTCCTCTTGCTTCTCCTCCACATCCTTTTCCCCCCTCCTCCTCCCTCATCCACCTCCTCCACCCTTCCTCCATCTCCCACTCATCCTCCTCCCCCTGCCCCCCTCCTCGTTTTCATCTTCGTCGTTCTCAGGGTCGGCGGCACCGGCCGTAAAGCCTTCGCAATAGCGAAAAACCTTCAGTCGTGATGTTTTCATGACCTCAGGGGGTCCATGACCGAGGGGGTCCCCCCCATCCCTTGAGCAGGGACCGACCGTCCTGGCATTTCTATAAGCCCACGCCCTCAAAGCAAAGGAATGTTCTAACAACAGAAGCCGTGTTCTTGTAACAGGAAGCCGATGTTTGAAACACGACGCTCTCAGCCAGATATGCTTCGCGCAAGCCACAAACTGTTCCTAGACGGCGGGGGGGCTGAACTGATACCCCAGGACCCAAACCCCCGACGTCATGATTTTCTCAAGACGTCGACTTCCGAGGTCTCGACCCATTTCCCAAGGACCGGTTCTTCCTCCCGAAATTTGTTTGGACGATCCCGAGGCCTGGCAATGGCCCCCAGATGCCGAAAATGGCGAAAAACCTCCAGTCATAATTTGTTCATCACTCGAGCGGGTCTGGGAATGGGTCAGGAGAGGGCGTCAGGCCAAGTCCCCTCGAAATCGGACCCTGGAACCCTCCCAGGGTCCATCTCTGGTGCAGTGTTTCAACCCCTGGGCTCGTTTTTCACGATCCTGGGGCCCGCAGATCTCCCGCCCCCCCCACGGAGGCAGAACAAAACAAAAAAAACCTCCCCGAAAACCCGAAAGCTCGAACCTGCCCGCCCGTCTGCTCACCGGAACCAGTGCGGGGCCACCTCAGACCTCCCGAAGGCTCCAACCTGGAACATTCTTTGGTGGAACCTGAAACGTGCGGGATGTCTTTGATGGGCCTATTAGTGGATGCCACGACAATGGACACCCTAACAGCCCCATCATCGAATTAACCATGTGATTAAAATGTCGGAAACATGTCCTGAACATGTTTCGAACATGTGCTTTACATATTCAAAACAGTTTTAACACGTGTTCTAGACATCTGGAAACTATTTGGCAACGTGCTTCCTGTCCACTGATCGTCCTCCACGAGCCTATCGGCAAGCCAGGGCGCCTCGCCACTGCTGGACTCCCCCGCGGAGGGGCGCCCGCCGGCCTCCATGCGCACCAGGGCCGTGGGGCAGACCCCCGCGCGCATCGAGGCGCCCGCAGCCTCTTGGGGGGAGGTGCGGAGGCCGTGGCCGTCTGTCGCCACCGCCAGTGGCCGCCGCCGCCGTCGTGTGGGGACCGCATACACACGTATGTCTATGTATAGATATACCCATGTGTATATGCATGCCTATGTATATACGTGTTTGCATACATATGTGCATATATATAAGCACATCCACATGTGTATGCATGTACTTATATGGCGTCATGTAGAAGGATACGTTCGTATACGCATTAAGGAACTATGTATGCACACTATGTATAGATATAAACTTATATATGTATGGTATCGTACACACGTGGTGTACATCCATACATGTTTATGAACATGTATGCCTGGCGCTCTTGTGCCTTCACGCCTGCGCTCCATCCATATAAGTATACCTTATATGAGAATACGTATGAACATATATTTATACACATGTGCATCGATATATGATGCACTACAGTCGAGGTTGATTGGAGAGAACACTCGAGAGGACAAAGGACCACTTCCGAGGGTCACACTGCCACAGGAATGCAGAAGGCATGGGCCGCGCAAAGCTGGACAAAAGGGCACCCTTGATTTGACAGGGTCGACGTGCTAAGTAATCAACCTCAACCTCGACTGCGAGGTCTCTGAACCCCGTCCCACTGGGCTTCGCAGAAACGCCACCAGACAACGTATACAGTGTATGATTATCTGGCGGGTGCTACAGGCGACGGATGTTGAAAAGCATCTATAAACATACAGTCCTCTTCCTATATTTTTATAAGCCCGGGCGGGGGGAAAACCCGTCCCCCCCCCCCCTAAAACCGGACCCCCGGGATCTGGAGCTTTGGGACCCTCCGGACGGGCCTCGAAGCGGCCCCCTGGGCCTCGCAGGGCGTTTTGCCAAGCCTTCGCAGCACACCCAGGGCGATCAGGGGGGTCACCGGAGACGTCCCAAAGACCCCCAAGACAGCACAAGAGCGCTCCAAGAAGTCGTCATACCCCGAAAGATCGCTCCAAAACGTACCAAGAGGCCTCCAAGAGCACCCCCAAGGATGCCCCAAGAGGGACAAATCGCTGATTCTATGTAGGTTTTTGGTGCATTCGGGGTTCTCTTCTTTTCGGCTTCCCGACGCTCCAAGACGGCGGTCTCCTAGGCGTCCGAAGCCGCCAGGGAGGCTCCAAATTCGCCCCACAACCATCCGAAAGGGCTTCCAGGCAGTCCAAGAGAGCCCCAAAACGGCACAACAGGGGTCCAAAATGGCTCTAAGAGAGCACCATGGCGGCCCAAGATGGCTCCAAGACACCCTCCGCAGCATTCCAAATCGTGACCGGGTCGTTCAGGGAGACCGTGGTTGGAGGCAGGGTGGCCCGAGGAAGCCCCCAGAGGCCCCCAGAATACGCCCAGGAGGCCTCCAGAAGGCCTTAAGAAAGCCTGAGACAATTTTTGTTAGGCCCCCAGAGGCTCTCCCAGGAGGAGCCTCCGCAAAAAAAAGCTAAGGTAGGGAGAATGCGCAGGGTATGGCGAACATGAGGAAAAAGAAGCATGGAGGATAACGAACAACATTACTATAACGGCGATGCCGGAAAAGGCAACAAGGAGTTATCGCTAAATTGTCGGCTTGATCTTCCTGCTATTCCGCCTGCAAACCAAACTTCAAGGACCAAGGTGCATGGCGCGAAGCGCCACTGCAGTCTTGTGTGTATATCCTTTTGAAGATTCAGACTGGCAACATGTACCCTCTAGACGCACACTCTAGGCTCACGCCTCTAGAGGCAATCGTCCCCCCTCTAGAGTTGCGCGCGTCCCCCTCTAGAGCCTCTTCTAGAGGCCCCTCTAGAGGCCCCTTCTAGAGGCCCCTCTAGAGACGCCTCTAGAGCCCCTTAGAGCCTCCAAACCTTTGCTCGACATCCGCAGGTACTCTAGAGCTTTCTTACTACTCATTCACTCTGCCCGTCCTTCTCGAGCCCCAAAAATGGTCCTCCAGTCCAGTCCCCCCCTTAAAGAACACGCGATTCCCGTTCGCCTCTCCCGAGAATCTGGTGGAGGCGGGGGAGACGACGGAGGACGAGGAATGGTTCCATCGAGCCCAACACCCTCCGAACTGCCGCCTCTTCCCGCTTCGAAATTCCGATCCAGACGCGCCCCAGGATACGCTCCCGTTTCGAGCTTTCCCCCCAGGGTCTTCGCCGAGCCATGCATGCCAAAGGCTGCGCCTCGCCGAGATCACTTCCGCTGTGCCCAGATCGCTCCGACTGGCTTCTGGAGGCGCGACACAGGATAGGCCCTCGTCTCGCTGTTCGCCCCAAGGCATTCACGGTGGCATGCATGCCAAAAGCTGCGCCTCGCCGAAGGCACTTCCGCTGGGCCCGAATCGCTCCGACATGCTTCTGGAGGCGCGAGCTGCCGCCTCGACATGCCGACCAAGACGCGCCCCCCCCAGACCAGGTTCAAGGATCCCCGTTCGAGGCAGCTTCGTCGCCTCCTGGGACCGTGATCGCCGCGGATCCCTCTCTCTCTCTCTCTTCTCTCTCTCTCTGTTTTTTTTGGTTTCTCTCTCTCTCTCTCTCTCTCCCTGTGTCTCTCTCCATACCTCTGTTCCTCTCACTCTTTCTCTCTCTCTCTCTCTTTCCCTCTTTCTCTCTCTCTCTCTCTCTGTTTTGTTTTCTTTCTTTCTTTCTCTCTCTCTCTCTCTCCATACCTCTCTTTCTCTCACTCTCTCTCTCTCTCTGCCTCCTCCGCTCTCTCTTTCTCGCTTTCTCTCTCTCTCTCTCTATATATATATATGTCTCTCTCTCTCTCTCTCTCCAGCTGCACTCGTGCCATACGTACTTCTACACGCGTGCCCTGAATCCGGCCGGACTTCGGGCCCGTGGCTGGGCCCCCGGAGAGCCCCAAGACAGCCCCCAAAGGCTTTGAGGGACCTCGGGATCCGAGCACAGTATACGACTACCACCACCAAGACCGAGAATAATCTACGGTGCGATTTGGTGCAGTTTTGCTCTGGTGAGAAGCCCGCAGTCCCCCTCCCGCCGCCAACGGCAACCGGGCTGCCTCCTCTCCCTTGAGGACCGAAACAGAAAGTATCAAAGCACGCGCGGTGGTGGTGTATAAAATGTTGATTACCAAGAGGAGCGATTTTTATACACCACCACCAAGAAATGCTGTTTCTGCTTAAGGAACTCCCCATGCCACGGCGCCTGCGAGCTGCGCCGCGCTCCTTTTCGCCGTGGCGTCGCAGCGTCGTCTGGCATGACCATGCCCCTAACCCTTTTTGCGGTAAATTACTGTTGCGGGCGGTGGTGGTGTATAAGAATTGGCCTCACACAGGAGGTTTCGAAGATCCCCTTCAATATACATCGCAGATCACCTCATGCTGGCCCGCGCTGCGCCCCCATGTGGCCCACAGAAAATCCACAAGACCCCCGAGAGGCCTCAAAAGCGATCCGAGAAGCGTCGCTCCGAGGAGCGCCCCAAAAAGAACCCTTAGAGGCAACGCATAATACATTCCCCGATCGGCTTTTGAAGGCTTCTGACGTTTCCCGCTGGTTCGGCTTTCCAACGCTCTTTGACGGCCCCCCGGCCTCCCCGGCCCCACCCCGGGAGGCACCGGAGGCACCCGACACGGCCCAACATGGCCTCAAGACGCTTTTCGCGGCGACCACGGCAACCCAATAACGCCCACGCAATGCCTCACGCGGCCCATTGTCTTCGCACTTTCTGCTCGCCCCCTTCTCCACGGGCGAATCTTCGCCCCGCGCCTGACCCACCCAATGAACCAAGGGTTCGACGGCGCAGCGTAGCAAGCCGTAGAAAACTTATATATATATATATATATATATATATATATGTGTGCACTGCGCTTGGGCCGCCATTTGCCACTGAGTCGTGGACAAACATCTGATCATATGAGGGACATGCTCCTGGCCCCGAGTCGCGGTCTGGGGATGGCCCCTGAGATCCGGGCGTCGTCACGTTCCCAGACCCACACATCCGGCGCCTCGAAAAACGGCACGGCGGTGTGTCATCGTGTTCGGCCCCCCGTGGCCCTGACGGGGTCTCGGGACCGTACAGCGACGTCTCGGGTAATGGGCCGAGAGGTCGCGGGGGACCGTGTCTCGGGCAGATCGAGACGGAGGATGCCCGGGAACCGGGCGTTCTCGCCCGTTTTCGGGCCCCGCAGGTCTGGAATCGGGCTCGAAAAATGCCGCAGAAGAATTCGGTCGAGGGCCCCCAGCCGTCATGTTCTGCGATGTTACCATGTTGTCGCTCGCCGCCGCCGCTTGCCGCCGCCGCCGTGGTCCCGGGGGGGAGGGGGGATCCCCCTCTTGGCCCCCCTCGAGGGGAAGGGGGGGAGGCGGGGAGGAGGGGGGGTGCCAGACCCCCCTCGCGCAGCGAGCACACATCACGACTGCCTGTGTTTGCACAGCCCTCCTGTGTTGGGCTCCTGCTTTGAATAAGGCACTCTGGTCTTGCACCTCCTCTCCCGCCTCCCCCCCTCCTCCTGCGCTGCTCCTGCGCTGCTCCAGGGGTGGCTGCGAGCTGCGCCCAACTGTCGCCGCGTTCGTGGGCTCCTGGGAGGTCCAGCGGAGACGGGGGCCCCGCGCACCCGGACGTGACCTCGCTGCTACCTGGGTGGCTGCGAGCTGCGCAACTGTCGCCACGTTCGTGGGCTCCTGGGAGGTCCAGCGGAGTCGGGGGCCACGCGCACCCAGACGAAACCTTGCTGCTCCTTAGGTGGCTGCGAGCTGCGCAACTGTCGCCACTTTCATCGGCTCCTGGGAGGTCCAGCGGAGTCGGGGGCCACGGGCATCCAGACGAGACCTCGTTGCACTCTGGGTGGCTGCGGACTGCGCAACTGTCGCCACGTTCGTGGGCTCCTGGGAGGTCCAGCGGAGTCGGGGGCCACGTGCAACCAGACGAGACCTCGCTGCACTCTGGGTGGCTGCGGACTGCGCAACTGTCGCCACGTTCGTGGACTCCTGGGAGGTCCAGCGGAGTCGGGGGCCACGCGCACCTGGACGAAATCTTGCTGCTCCCTGGGTGGCTGCGAGCTGTGCAACTGTCGCCACTTTCGTGGGCTCCTGGGAGGTCCAGCGGAGTCGGGGGCCACGCGCACCCAGACGAGACCTCGCTGCACTCTGGGTGGCTGCGGAGTGCGCAACTGTCGCCACGTTCGTGGACTCCTGGGAGGTCAAGCGGAGTTGGGGGCCACGCGCATCCAGACGAGACCTTGCTGCTCCCTGGATGACTTCGAACTGCGAAACTATCGCCACTTTCGTGGGCTCCTGGGAGGTCCAGCGGAGTTGGGGGCCACGAGCACCTGGACGAAACCTTGCTGCTCCTTAGGTGGCTATGAGCTGTGCAACTGTCGCCAGGTTCGTGGGCTCCTGGGAGACACGGCGGAGATGAGGGCAGCGCAGATCGTGCATATCTGGCGGTGTGTTCTTTTGTATGAAACGTTCATAAAAAAGATTCGCCTCGCGTGGAAAACGGGTTGGGTACGTCTCCTCGGGTAATTGTTAGATTTGTGGTCCCCCAGGACCCTCAACAACGACTCGGGATGAAAAAGCGGTTCCGGGGGAAGGGGTCCATACCTCAGCAGGTCAACGTTGCGACAAAAATTCACTGCGTCGGGGGCCTGTGGGGGGAGGACAGGGGGGAGAGAGGAGAGGGGGGGGGGGGGGCAGGACCGGGAGAAAGGAGGGGGGGGAAGGGCGGCGGGACGGGGATGGGGAAGTCGCTGGAAGTCGCTAATAAGCACGCTGTGGTATGTGGGGAGGAGAGAGGTGAGGAGGTGGTTCGGGGGGGGGGGGGTAGGGGCAAGGGAGGACGGGAGGGAGGGGAGGGAGGGGCAAAAGGTGCGGGAGGGGCACCAACAGGAAGGGCAGGGAGGGGCATGATGGCAGACGTGGCGCGAGCGCGCCCAGCTTGCCTCGTCCCCTTCCTCCCGCCTCTCCTTTCTCCGTCCTCCCTTCTCGCCTGCCTCCTCCCTCGCCCCCCCCCCCTCCCACACACGACACCTCCTGCCCTCCCTGCAGCTCCTTCCGTGGGCGTGCGCGGGAGGGGGGAATCAGGAACGCGCCTGATCGAAGGAGGAGGAGGAGGAGGAGAAGTGAGGAGGAGGAGGAGGAGGAGGAGGAGGAGGAGGAGGAGGAGGAGGAGGAGGAGGAGGAGGGGGGCATCAAAAAAACGCGCCTGGTCGATGAGAAAAGCCGTGTACTCGTTGATGGCTGCCTCGCCCACCAGCACGCCCTCCTCCGGGAGGTCGGCCCGAGAGGGAGATGCGGAGGAGGGGGGTGACGAGGCGTGAGATGACGAGGGGCCGATGAGCCGAACAAAGGCGCAATGGTTAGGCGGCGCGCCTGGGGGGGGAAGTGAGAAGGGGCGGGCCTTCTCAGAAGGCTCAGAAGTCCCCCAGCCTTCTGAGAAGTTTTCTAAGCCTTCCCCGAAGATAGAAAAAACTTCTCAGAAGGCGCGAGGGCCTCTGAGGAGTGCCGCCGCCTTCTGAGAGGGCCTTCTCCTTCTCACTTCCCCCCCTCGCTCGCCGCCGAATGGTGATTAGGAGAGGGAGACGGCTGCCCGGAAACAAGATGATGAATGCTGCCGGTTAAGAACTCAATGGAAGTCTTGCAACAATGCCCGCTGGCCCCTCTGGGAGCCAACAGGCTGCGAGGTCTAGGCTGTCCTGTTCCCTGCGCCACTCCGAGTTCCCAAAATGTAATTGCATCGTATCACTTCTCCACATTCTAGTCCCGCTGTCGTACCGCGCGAGGGGGGGATCGAGAAGCTTCGCGTCCCTACTCCCACTGTGGGTTCTCAGAGTCTCCTTGAAGCGCCCTGGGGCACATCAAATACAACATACATATTCGCGCTCGGAAAGCCAGTAAACTACCATTTTCGAGGTCCCCGAGGCAGCAACCCTCCGTACATTGCCTCACACACGCGCTCCCCAAGCCCACAGCCACACGGTAACTTATGCCATGCGAGCGCTTCCTAAGCCACACGTCCTTGCACACCATTGCGGATTCGCACCCGTGAGGCCACAATCCTTTCTGTAAGTTGCGACAGATTCGCGCTCCCGAGACCAGTCCCCAGCAACAAAAGCCAGGCTAGGCTCGCGCTCCCCAAGCCACGGTCTCTCGCAGCAGACTCTGGACTCGCGCTCCCGAGGCCACCACCCTCTTGAGAGTTTACAGCGCCGGCTGGCGCCCCCGAAGCCATACGCAATCCCCTTGTGAACTGCGACGCGTTGGCACTCCTGGCGCCAGCATCCAGTGTGGATTACGCCGTGTTCGCGCTCCCCGATTCGGACGCCCGGCTTGGGTACTCCAGATTTCGTAATAAAAGGGAGGGGTCTGGACCCTCCAAGACAAGCCATTTCAGACCTCCCCCGTTGGAGAACCCTCCAAAACATCGACCCCAGACCCCCAGGCCCTCCAAGATAGCCTGGAAGAGACCCCCCCCCGAAATGAGACCCCCCTTCCTTTATCATCAAATCTGGAGTGCGGAAAAAATGGGTACAATGCCAAACAACAAATGTTGTCCCAAACCAACAGCGGCCGCTGTTGGGCAGGCGGCCGTTTGTCTCAAATGGACACAGGCACCGGCGGCGCGGACAGCGAGTCCTGTTCATAATGAACAAGAGCTGCTGTTGGGCATTGTACCAATTTTTTCCGTATCCCATTTCGTTCGTGCTGACCCAAGCCACCATCTTTTGTAAACTACGCTCGGCCATCGCTCCGGAGGCCACTAAAAGCCCGTGCCGTTCACAGAGCAGAGGCTTGCGCCTGCGAAGCCACGGTCCCTCGCAGAATTACGTGTGCTGCGCGCCGGTGTCCCCGAGGCCACGAAGCCACCCCACGGAGGCCGCCAAGAAGCGCCATCCTAGGGAACCGAACTCTATACACTGACGCCTTTGTCTGGCCCCGCACTGGAACTCGCACAAGAAAACGGATCCTGGTGTATACGGGATCCAGGTGTATACATTCTTCGTCGTTTCGTCGTTTCCCCGGGAAGACGGGGAAAAAGTATACACCACACCACCCCGACTTCGCCCCCGACCCTCCAAAGTTCCTGGGATTGCAAAACAGCCCGCCACTGATAACGTAGATGCTCTAGTTTCAGACCATCCCCCTCAGAATCAGAACATCGATCTTTTGACGTATTGAAACATGAGCGACGAGGACAAACGTTGGGAGGCAATTGCTGGGAGGTCTTCATCGGAAGGGCGAATGATGAAAAAAGCCCCATTGCGGGGCTGTTACGCCAGATTAGGCCGCGGATCAAGCGGGACTGAGCCAGATGAATCGGGATCAAGCGGGACTACGCCGAATTAGCCGGGATTCAACCAGAGTTGGCCGGATTCCGGACCAGGGCAACGACAGAATGTGACCCCCCCAGGCGTCGCATCCGAACAGACGGGTCTTGCGAGAGAGGGCAGGGCGGCCTCACGCGGTGGCCTGCGCGGAACACCAGCGCGGCACGCCACACTGGAGGCGAGGCTGCCAACGCGCGAGCTTACGCGGGCAGCTTGCGCCCCAATGCTAGAGCAGACGAACCTGTTTTTTCTCCGCGTCGCTCATGACTAACGTGTTTGGGGGGCGCTTCGCCACCCCCCCCCCCTCCCCCCCTGCCGTTTCCTGAGAGTTCGGCTCGGGACCCAAAGGCCACGAATCCTGGAAAATCGCAAGTGGTGCGCTCATCGCTCTGTGATCTCGGATCATCGAGCCTCCTCCTCCTCCTCGATCCCCGAAGCTCGAGCCTCCCCCTCGGCTCTCGTACCTCGACCCTCGATCCTCGAACCTGGAAGCTCGAACCTCGATCCTCGATCCTTGGCCTTCGATCCTCGAGCCCCCTCCTCGCTCCCCGAAGCTCGAGCCTCCTCCCCGAACCTCGACCCCCGACTACTCTCTCCTCCCCGAACCTCGACCCCGACTACTCTATTTCCTTAATTTAACGTGGGTGGTATAATTTTCACCCTTCGCGTTTTTGGGCCCCTGTTTAATTTTCGCCGGCGTTGCGTTCCGAGGAATATTTCCAGCCGGCCCTCGCGACATGCCGGCGTAATTTCCGCCGGCGCCTACGAGCACATCTTGCTCGTAGGCGCCGTCATCACCATCAGCATCGTCATCGTCGTCATCGCCGTTGTCGCAACCGACTTCATCGTCGAGCAACCAGCAACCACGCTCGCGATCTGCATAACCTTTTCTCCTCGCGTCATCGCCACCAGCACGACATCCTCTCGTTCACCACCGCCACACCATGGTCAGGGGGACGTAAGACCTGGGTACAGTGGACTCGGAAATCCCCGACGAGGTCGTCAAAAAAATGACGAGGCCGAGCCTGCATTTTGACGAGGCCTCCCGCTGCAGACATCCCACGAAACTCCTCCTCGTCAAAATCCGAGGCGCGGTCGTCAAAAAACGATGGCGAACCCGAGTCCTGGCAAACCTGGGTCTTACGCTCCCCCGACATGGCACTCGAGCCTCCCGCCCGAGGGCCCTCGAGGCCGCGTAGGCGGCGTTGGAGCCGCCCCGCCGCGCCCCGGCTTCGGCAGCAGGCCGGCGGCAGACTCGCGGGCCGGCCGACGCTCCGCGCGTCGGCTCGGGGGCCCTCGTAAGCAGCACTGGAAGCGCGCTCCCGAGGCCGTCATCCCTCATGAATTCAGGCAGGCCCGAGAAACCAGCCAGCCAGCAAACAGACAAACTTAATTGCGCCTGATGTATAAACATGTATGCAGTTGCGCATGTACGCATGCATGGTGATGCATGCAGGTATGTGAATAGGTCGTTGTGTAGGCATGTATGTATGTCTGCATCTATGTATGTATGTATGCATACATGCATGCATGTATGCGTGAGTGGATGTGTATGTATGTATGTATGTATGTATGTATGTATGTATGTATGTATGTATGTATGTATGTGTGTATGTGTGTATGTGTGTATGTGTGTATGTGTGTATGTGTGTATGTGTGTATATGCATGCATGCGTGCACGTATGTATGTATGGATACGTATGTCCGTGTGCCCGTATGTGTGTATGTGTGTGTACGTATAATGAATGTATATGTATGTATGAGTGTATGCATATAGTTGGTTATGTATGTATGGATGTGCGTATGTATGTATATGTGTATATGTGTATGTGTGTATGGACGTGTGTGTGTATGTAGGTATGTATGTATGCATGTATGCACGTATGTATGTGTGTATGCATGTATGTATGTATGTTTACATGCATGCATATATGTATATGTATGTACGCATACATACATACATGCTTGCACGTCTCTATATTTGTGCATAATCAGACGCACCTCTCCGAGAGAGTAGAGCTCAAAAGCGACTCATTGAAGGTTCCGGTCCCGCTCGCGATGTGTTAGGCCGTTTCGCTCGGGACACCCTCAAACTTGCGAAACTCGATCGCACCCCTCACGCAGATCGTGGCGTCACGGTCAAACACACACACACACAATGGATGTTCAACAATTTCCGAACAACATGTTCAAACATACATTGGGTTTGAGGATGTTGGACGTCGCTCTTAGAAACAAAACTTCTTGCGCGTGAGACATCGCCCCACAGCTAAAACAAAACACCAATTTCACTCGAGACATCCTCCAAACAGTGGCTGCCGAGAGCTTCTTTTCAACTGCAATCGCAAGGTGTTCAACACGCCCCCGCGCCACACACACACACACCGCAATGTGTGGCAACCCCACCTGCGTTCGACAGCTGTCCCGTTGGTCCCTCCTTCCAAGTGCCCAATGGTAATCCTCATCATCCTCCTTCTCGCATTTTACCTATATTTCTCAATCTCCTTCCTCCTCCTCCTCCTCCTCCTCCTACTCCTCGCATCAGGCGTTAAATTCCGGTTCCTGCTCATGTTCTGCAATGTTTACGTGCTGCAGCCGTGCCAAATGTATGCACACACGCATTTACATACACATCTACACACATATATATATATATATACGTATACATATATACCAATACGTATACATATTAATATAACCTGTAAGCAATACATAACATATGGCTCATCATACAGACCTATATGGGAGTCTGCGTATATAGAACACACAAATCAGCCGAGCTGTCAGCCAGCCAACCGACAAGATAACAAACCAACCCACCAACCAAGCGTGGTCATGCAAGCAATCTGAGAGGGGGTGGGCAGTTGTTGTGGAAGATCAATGCTTACATTCTTGAAGGGGGGGGGGGCATGCTATGGAAGATCAAGGCGCACCAAGGTTCAAGAGGAACGCCCGCGGAGCGCCTGAGGAACCTCGAGCCTGTTCCGAGACCACCGTCGTCCTTACCCCACCGTTTGGAATGGACCCGATGGTACAAGCAAGTGGTCAACATCCTAAAACAAACCGAGCCCAGATCACAGAAGAGGAGGCGGGGTGGCTTAAGTGCGAAATGGACGCGTGAAGCAAAGCCCCAGCGAACGAGGGGACACCGCTTCGAATCAAGATATACGCAACAATGCCGATTCGAGCTGTTTAATCGTCCGTGCCACGAACGAGGGGGTGGTGAGGGGCAGGGGAGAGGCAGGTGGAGGGGGAACACGGGAGGTGAAGGGGAGTGGAGGGGAGGTAGAAACGATAAAGGGGGGGAAGCAATGGCAACTTCGAGCGGGAGTGGGAAGGCAGAGGGCGATGGCGGACGGAGAGATGACGAAACACATGCAACTGAGAGAGTGGGGTAAGGCCACCCCCCTCTGAGCACCTCCCTGACCCGTACCTGAAAAACCTATGCTCGAACCGATGCAGGAATGCAGCGCTCACCTGCCGCTGTCCCGCACAGCCTGTGGACGAATGTTGGCGCAAAAGTGCAGTTATCCCGCGTGCGGTGAGGGAATGCGCCGCCCCGTTATTCGACCCCCCGTCTTTTCCCGACCATCTCGTGGTGTTGGGTCCTGTTTTGAAGACAGCGCCCCGCGTTCCTTCCTTCTTCCTTCCTCCTCCCCCTCCCTTCTCCCATCTCTGCTTCTGCCCTCCATCTGCCCTCAGCTCATGACCATCGTGCGCACCTGCTCCCGATTCGGCACGCCGTCCACTGCTTCGTGACGCCGAAAGGGAGCTCCACCGAAGGCCCCCCCGGCGGCAGGGCCCGCATGGCGCACACGCACCCGGTTCAGCTCATCCCTCACACGCTCCGTGGCCCCCAAAGGCGCTCTCCACCGAAGGCCCCAGCGGCAGGGTTCGCATGGCGCTCCCGCACCCAAGTCGGCACAAGGAGGAGGAGGAGGAGGAGGAGGAGGAGGAGGAGGAGGAGGAGGAGGAGCAGTAGGAGGAGAGGAGGAGGGAGGGGAGAGGAGGAGGAAGAGGAGGAGGAGGAGGAGGAGGAGGAGGAGGGGGAGGAGGAGGAGGAGGGGGAGGAGGAGGAGGAGGAGGAAGGAGGAGGAGGAGGAGGAGGCAGGAGGAGAGGAGGAGCAGCAGCCCACGCGCGCCGTGGCCCCACGGGCAGCTCCATCCAGGGCCCGAGCGGCAGTGTCTGGCACGGCGCGCACGCACCCCATGCGGCACACCCCTCTCTCCTCACCCCCTGCTTCGCTGCACCTCCTGCTCGCCTCCCCCTCCTCCTCCTCCTCCTCTTCTCCTCCTCCTCCTCCTCCTCCTCCTCCTCCTGGTCGGCTTCTTCTCCGGTCGCCTCCTCCTCCTCCTCCTCCTCCTCCTCCTCCTCCTCCTCCTCCTGTTCTTCTCACTTGCCTCGCTCCGCCTCCTCCTGCTCCGGCCTGCTGCTCCTCACCCCCTGCTTCTTCTCGCTTGCCTCGCGGCACCCGCGACCTCATGTGGGTGAGCCCGTCGCCAGGATGTCTGTTGCCGACGACGTGGGCGATCAAAAATCCTGCCCCCGTCCCCGGGACCAGCTTCTCATCGCGGCCATGACTCCAGTTTGCTCAACATTTCAGCGCGGGGTGTGCGGATCGTCCTGTCCCGCGCCGAGCGCGAGAGTGTTGCATCGCGTGATGGGGGGGTGGGCTCGGCGCGCGTGGGGGAACTGGAACGGGCCGTTGGGCGGAGCGGCAGGGGGAGGATGCTGATTGAACAACCTAGCGTACGGCCCCGGGGCCTGACGAAAACAGTCCCAAACGTGATCCTGCTCGTGGCACCTGGAGGTCTGCCCACTGCGCGAGCATCCACCTCCCGATTGCCCTACGAATGCTGGCCCTCGAGTTGGGGTGTTGCTGGAGGTGGTGCTGGCCCGAAGTGTCCCCGGCTTTTCCAGCCATGTTGGAGCCCGCGGGGCCCTCTGAGCCTCGTTATGGGTGCTCTGGAGGCGAACCCCTGGGGACATCTTGGGCCAGGCGTACCTTTAAAGACGCCTGCCATGTCGTGGACCCCAGGGCGCTCCCTGGGACCGTCTTCGAATACGCTCTTCACAATCCAGGGGCTCAGGCGGAGCCCTGGGAAACACAAAGGTGCACATAAAAACAAACGCTTTCCCTCAAGACCCCTTGTCTTTCTGCTGATACCTCCCCGGTCCGCTTTCGCTCAAGATCGGCCCCCGGACCCCTCCCAGACGCCATCGGAGGAGGTCCTCAGCAAGCAGGTGCAGCGCCTGGAAGCGTCTAGGATAGCTTCTCAGAAGCCGGCAGGGGTTTTCACGCACCCCATGCCTTCTCCGAAGCCCCCCGCCTTCTCAGAAGGCCGCCCACCCCGCGCATCCCCATTCCCATGGCATGCGGTGCTTCAACGTTTCAACTGTTGTTCCATGAGTGGGCCCCCAGACTTCTCGAGAGCCCTTCTGCACGGCCAGGATCTCATCCCGAGTCGTTTCCGGCGGCCCCGAACCAGCCCGCAGCATCCTGAAGCCCGATATCTGGGATCCCCGGCATCTGACAAAGTGATGCTTGCAATCCGCGGCCCCAGAGGTCCCGACCCCGCCCCAGATCCGACTGTGATGCCTCAGGGGCCCTACAGCGGCCCGCGGGGACCGAAATCTGAAGAACCACTCCCAGATTGAGAGAATCAACCAGTCTGGCCCCCAAGACTAGGGGAACAAAAAGTGGCATAAACACAAAAACTCGGAGGTCCGCGCGGATTTCTCGGATCGGCGCTGGACCCCCCTCCTTGGCGCGCGGAGCGCGCCAGAGGCGGCGCCGGAGGCGCCGCTGGGGGGCCCCAGCGCCGATCCGAGAAATCCGCGCGGACCTCCGAGTTTTTATGCTTATGTCACTTCTTTGAAGGGGCCCTGTGACACACAAATAAATACACACACACAAATAACAGGAATCCCCATATGTTCATACATTTTGAGGGTTTTCGTCTTCCCCCCCACTTCCCATATTTTCTTATATTTTCTCGGGAATCGACGATTAATTGTGTCTGTGTGTTTTTTCCCTCCTGATTATTGTGCCCCTAAAGACCTCACGCAGCTCCGCGCCCAGATCCATCCAGGGCCAAACCACGGGCCCCAGCGGCCGAGGCGCCCACGAAGAGCACGCCTGGATCGACGGATCACGCCGTCGGCTTGCCCTCGCTGGGACGCCCATTTCCCGTACATCTTTCGCTTTCGTGCGTGATTTGTTTTGTTGCTCGATGGTCCAGGCTGGTCCTCGATGGTCCTTGCCGAGGAAAGAATGCACACGTCCGAGCGATGCCAAGGCGGAGATATCTGGGACTGCGCGTGCCGCCGAGAACCCCCGGCGGCGCCCGCGGCCGGAGGCCCGCCCCCCCGGAGGCCGCGCGTATCCTTGAGCCCCGTGATCGCGCCGCTGCTGGCGTGCACCTGCCGGCGGGGGGACGGGCCGCGCTCTCTCGGGCGGCGTGCGCCGCCGAGGGCTCTGCGGCCAGGAGCGCCTTCGCCCTCCTCCTCCTCCTCCTCCTCCTCCTCCTCATCCGCCTCCTCCCTCGCCTCCTCCCTCGTCCTCGTCCTCCTCCTCCTCCTCCTCCTTCTCCTCCTCCTCCTCCTCCTCCTCCTCCTCCTCCGCCTCCTCCCTCGCCTCCTCCCTCGCCCCCCTCCCCCTCCTCCTCCTCCTCCTCCTCCTCCTCCTCCGCCTCCTCCTCCTCCTCCTCCTCCTCCGCCTCCTCCCTCTCCTGCTGCTCCTCCTTCCCCTCCTCCATGCCCTACCCGTACTTTGCGCACTGAGGGTCAGGAGCATTTGGGATAGCGTGCCTCGCGACGGCGGCCCCAGCGACACGCGGCGCCTTGCCAAGCGGATGGCGTGTCGAGGGCTGCGCGGGGCAGGAGACGGGGGGGCAGCCGCGTCGCGGCACGCCGACCAAACGTTCCTGACCGCAGGGGGAGCAAGGCGGCGCGCGCAGCTGTCCGCCAGGGGGCGGGGCCTGGAAGGCTGGCGCGGGCGAGCCAGGACCTCGAACGAATTGAGAGCCAACGTGCACCCCAAACAGTGAGTCATTGCACGGTGGAGGTGAAGCCTATGCTGTGCAAGCTATGCGGTGCAAGTTATGTCGCGCAGGGTGTGCAGTGACATGGTATGTGATGCCAGCTGCGTTGTGCAACCTATGGTGCTGTGAGTACGTCATATGTTGCCAGCTATGGTGTGTGAGCTGGTTGGTGTGAGCTGTGTTGATTGTGTAAGTCATAATGTGTATAAGCTATGGAGTGTGAGCCGGCGGGTGTGAGCTGTGTTGTGCAAGCTACGCAGATGGTTTCGTGAGGGAGTGAGCTACGGGGACCCAGCCATGTAATTATTACCACACATGCGGTGTGGGCTTCTTCTGCGCGGGGAGCTGTGCAGTGCCAGCTGTGCTATGCAAGCTCCCTGCAGCATGCATCGGCTCTGCGTGCTGCGAGCTGTGCGGCGTGTGCCGGGCGCTGCCGGCAGCGTGGCGAAGACTGCGCGGCGCAAGCCGTGCCGTCCACGCTGCGGCCACGTGGCGTCCGAGCGCACGGAGCGCCCGCGGGGCGCCCGGGAGCGGGCGCTTACGCGCCAACGGAGGCGCGAACCCTCGGGGAGCCCACCCGGCGCACGGGGCGCTCACGCGAGGCGCTGGCGAGCGGGCACGGGCGCCCACGTGGCGAAACCTCGGGAGACCCCTCCAATGACCCAAGGAGGCGGCGGCCGAGACCCCCCGAGTGCAAGCGCTGCCTCGCGAGCGGGGAGGAGGAGGCGGAGGCGGAGGCGGAGGCGGAGGCGGAGGAGGAGGAGGAGGAGGAGGAGGAGGAGGAGGAGGAGGAGGGAGGAGGAGGAGGAGGAGAGGAGGAGGAGGAGGAGGAGGAGGGAGGAGGAGGAGGAGGAGGAGGAGGAGAGGAGGAGGAGGGAGAGGAGGAGGGAGGAGGAGGAGAGGAGGAGAGAGGGGGAGAGGGGAGGAGAAGGAGGAGGAGGAGGAGGAGGAGGAGGAGGACGGAAGCTTTTTCGCACCCCTCGGCCCCTGCAAGGGGGTCCTCGCGGGGCCGCCGGGGACCGCCAAGAACTACGCGGGGCGAAGAGCCGCACCCCCGGGGAGAGGGCCAGGCCTTCCGGGGACCCCCCCCCCCCAAAGAAAACAAAAAAAACAAAACCAAGGCCTCGATCGTCTCTGTGCTTCGGGGGTCCCCAAACGGGGTGGTGACCACATGTGACCACACCGTGCGGTGAGTCGGTGGGGACTCGGGGTCACCGCACGGTTTTGGGGCTCGGGTCGTTCTCCGAAGATGTCTCGGGCGACGGGGGCCTCCGGGGTCCAAAGACCGTGCGGTGACGGCCCGTGCGGTGAGGTCTTGGGGGGGGGGGTCCGAGGCCACCGCACGGTCTGTCACCGCGCACCGCTTCGTCACACCAAAAGTATTCCTGGCCGCGGTCGGAGGCGTGCGGGCCCGGGGGGGGGAGCGTGAGGCACCAGCAGGCGGCTCCGAGTTGCACGAGGTGCGGTCCTGTTCTGAGCGGCGCGGCCTGGCAAAGGCGGGTGATGGGCCAGTTTCCCACCACCACTGCCATGGGTGGGAGAGGGAGGAGGAGGAGGAGGAGGAGGAGGAGGAGGAGGAGGAGGAGGAGGAGGAAGGAGGAAGGAGGATGACATTCAATCTACGTAGGAGCCTGCACGCTTGCATCGCACAGTGCGTGCCGTACCGCAGCACAGATTGCAGCAACAACATTGGGAGGGAGGCGGGTGAGGGGTCAGCAAGCCGACGGATACAGATCACGGCTGGCCGATTCCTGCGCTGTAACCACAGCCTCGCGCTCTCAGCAGCTAGGGCCCTCGGTCGTCTTAGGTGGCCCTGCATAGTTAGCTGTGGAACTGACCGGAGGACAGGCAGGAGAAGGATCAGCATCGGAGAGACATCGCTCGTTGTCCCAACACCATGCCGCCCTCCCCCATGGCGGAGAACCATGCATGGGAACCTCCCGTGGCGTGCGCCGCTGCCGGTGAGAGGACGAGCGGCGGCGTGGGGGGTCCTTCGGATTGTTCGGTGCCAGCGGCTCCTCGTCCCTGGGCTTGAAGACCGCGATGGACTCCCCCCGGCGCCCCTGGCACGGGGCTGCGGGAGGCAGGGGGGCTGGCGCAGACCGGCATGGATCACTGATCCGTCGATCTGGCACGCTGGAACGGAGTACAGATCCACGGGTCGGGCCCTGGAGGCAGGGGGGCTGGCTCGCGCCAACGCGGGTTACTGATCCGTAGGTCGTTGTGCGCGAACACGGATTGCAGAGCCACGGACCAGGGAAGATCTACCGCGGAAGCATGGCGCCAGCGTCGCCTGGTTCGGCCACGGAGCGCGCGCCAGTGTCGCATGGAAGCGGGAGCCGCCGCTAATCCACGCACCTCACTCAGACACGTTTGCGCTTCCCCGAGAGAGGCACAGGGGGGGTGGGAGGGGAAAAGGCTCATCATGCTGCTCCTCCTCCTCCTCCTCCTCCTCCTCCTCCTCCTCCTCCTACTCCTCCTCCTCCTCACTGGCCCTCCCTCTTCTTCCCCTCCGGGCTGCGGCCTGCCCCGCAGTGCCACGTCCTCGGGGACCACTCCCCCGCCACGGCGCTGGTGGCACACAGGCGCTGCAGGGCTCTGGCACACGGCGCGGGAGGAGGAGGAGGAGGAGGAGGAGGAGGAGGAGGAGGAGGAGCAGGAGGAGGAGGAGGAGGAGGAGCAGGAGGGGGAGCTGTCCCGCGGGGAAGAAGCACCCGCGGACAGCCCAACGGATCGCCGCGGCCCCTCGTCCATGGCGGCTTCCCCCGCCACCCCCCCTCGACCCCAGCATCGCAGCGGCTGCACGCGGCCGTGCTTCGGCTCCTGCTTCGCAGAGGCTTCGGGTTTGGTTCCCGGCCTGGGCCTCCTCGTGAGGTTCGGTCGGGCCTGTCTTCCTACAGGGGGATGTTGGGCGACAAGTTTACAAATACTCGAAAAATGCTCCCAAGATTTTGTTAAAAAATAATCAAAACATCGTCCCCACTATTTTTGTTTAAACTATTTTTGACTATTCCTCCTGCAGAGGGACAGGCGCGACTTCCTCGTCAGGCCGTGGGCGGTGCCCATCGTCGCCCTCCGCGGCCGGGCGAGCCTCAGAGCACGCGGGCCAGGGCTCGTTTTGCGCCCAGGGGGGGGGCCTGGGGACCAGCGTCTGGCGGATTCTGGGCCGGGTGGGCGGGGGTGGGAGGAGTGCCTGGCCATCGCTCGGACGTCCATTCCCTGTGTTTTTGGTCGGTGTCGTGCACGGTTTTCGCTTCCAAGTGATCAAGGATGCTCCTCGATGGTCCTCGCCGAAGGAAGCATGCACACGCCCGAGCGATGCCAAGGTGATGGGAGGCAGGATCGCAGGAGGGAGGGGGGAGGGGGGAGGGAGGGGGAGAGGAGGAGGGAGGAGGAGGGAGGGAGGAGGGAGGGGGGGAGGGAGGAGAAGCGAGGCACGAGGAGGAGGCAAAGGGGAAGCCAGGTGGCAGAGCCAGGGCGGACGAAGAAACGACGAGGAGCAGCAGCAGGAGTGGAAAAGGGGATGGGCCGGCGGTCCATTCCAGTCAACTCCAGCTGATAAGCCTACTGCGGGATGACGATGGATTAAAAACATGAGGGGGGAACGATGAAAAAACGTAGTTTCCTAACATTTCTGCACGATTGTCTCACTGGCGGAGAACGATGAAAGGAAATGGGTTTCCAGCCCGCGGCCGGTTTTTTCTAATCGTCATCCTGGGCGCCGCCGCGTGAACACGACCCCCGGTCATTTATTAATCGTCATCCTCCATTAGGGAGGCCCTTCGCTCCGCAAGCGGAGACGGAGGGCGCGAGACACTGCGGCAACAGAACTCCCATGCAGAGATAGCAATGACGGGTAAGGTACAATCATATATTAATCCGCCGAACCCTTGTGGGTCTCTAGGCGTGTGAAATCATCCCCCCCCATAATCCCCCCCCAGGGACCCCAAACCTGGAATTGGACCCCCCCCTGGCCCGGCCCGATCCCGGACCGAACGTGCCATGGGGCAGCGGAGGGCTCCAAAACGGGCCAAGAAGGTACCAAAACGCTCCCCAGACGGTCCCAGAGGGCTACGAGTCGCCGAAATATCGCTCCTTGACGCCCACGATGGCCTCCAGACGGTCTCCGAAGCTGCCAAGACGCCCCAAACAGCCCCCAAGATGCGTCCCAAGACGGTCCCAAGAAACAAACATCGTCCCATTGCAGTTTAAAAAAACCGCATTGCTCGAATAGTCGCCTGTTCGGCTTTGACAACATCCAAGACGGGCAAAGAAACCTTCAATATCGCCCCCAGACGGCCGAAGGGGCCCCCAAAAGAGGTCGAAGAGGGTCCGAAAACAGCCCACGAAGCCCCCAAGACAGCCCAAGCGGGCCCCCAGACGGCTCCAAGACGCCCCCAGCCTGCCCCAAGAAAACCCCAAGAGGCCCGGAGGGCCCCCCAAGAGAATCTCAAAGGCCTCCAAGAAGCCCCCAGGAAGCCCCAAAACTTGGCCCAAGATGCCTCGAGGCGGCCGGATATGGCCTGCAGACAAGCCAAGATGCCACCAAAAGGTCACAAAAGAGCACCAAGAGGTACAATAACAGCAACGAAGCAACAGGAACGATATCGAGCGCCGTGTTATGATTCGGACAAGCCTCGTGAAATGCAGTCCTGCAGGCGCAGTAGTTTATATAGGGGTCGGCGGATGTGGCATGAGCCTATGTAATCAAGTGCTCCACATGTACGCGTCGTTCATTTCTAATCGTGCTCATTTCAAATTGTGCTCGCTTCTAATTATTCCGGGCCCCCTAGTGGCCAGGACGAGGCCCAGGATAGAACAATTAGAAATGACAGGCTCTTGGCCCCCCCCAAAAATCAAAGAACCTTCGAAGAGTTCGAAATGAATAATGGGTAATCAAATGGGTGGAAAGGCGAGGGGCCAATGGTTAGGGCCCCGTAGCAACGCCCGTTGACCGATGGGGGCACTGGCACCCCTCAGGGACTGAAACCATGGCTCGACCAACTCGCCGACTCCCGTTCTCAATGTCAACGTCAATGTGCGTACCCGTCTCTGGGGCCTCTTCCTTCTCCCCCCTCCTGCCGGGCCTTGACGAAGTAAGTGCCCCCGAGGCCGTCCTCTACCAGATGGGGCTTTATGCCGTCCTCCAGAGCCTGGCGAGGGGCGGAAGGATCGCATTTGTTCTGGACTCCGCCTGTGGCCATCCGCAGACACCCTCGTGACGACAAGGGCGGAAGGATGGAAACAGAGCAATTAAGAAACGAACGACCAGGAGAAGGGAGGACGGGAAGGACGAGAGAAGACGAGGAGCAGTTGAGAGGAGGAGAAGGAGGACGACAGCGAGAACGAGGGGTGATGACGATGACCGTTGCAAGGGTGATTACGATGCTAATGATTAGGATATGACGATGATGTGATGATGGTGGCGCTGGCGCTAATACGAATGATGATGATGATGATGATGATGATGATGATGATGATGATGATGAGGATGAGGATGATGATGGTGATGATGATGATGATGATGATGGTGCTGATGGTGATGATGATGAATATGATGGTGATGATGATGCTGATGCTGCTGCTGATGATGATGAGGGCGGCGAGGACGATGATGACGATAAGGTCGGGTAGGACGCGGTTGGCAACAAGGGCGAGTATGAGGATTGCGAGTGAAATGATAATCTGACACATCGTGTGAGAAGATGCGAATGAGAAGAAAGAAATTCGACATCCCGAGGATGACGAACAGAACGAGGACGAGTGTGCAAATCATCGGGACGTGGAAGACGCAGAGGGGGACGGTGGAGGAAAACAAGGACGAGAGAAAGAGCAAGAGAAAGAGGACGGGAGGAGGAACCGATTAAATATGAGACAAGATAGAAGCCATTTGAACGGATGGGGGAAGAAGAGAAGAGAGACACGCTAGTAGGAGCAGGGTGAATGAGAAAGGGTGCTTATGATGGAGAGAGGAGGACAAGGAGAACGAGGAGGCATTCAGCACCGTGCGGAAACTGAGCGCGCCCCTCTTCCCGCCCCCATCGCAGAGTTGCGTTTCCGATCTCAGGTCCACGTGCCTGCTTCAACATCGCTCTGGATCGCCGGAGGGAGGGAGGACACAGTCAACCCGTATGGTAAGGATACGCGGTAAGGATGCAAGGGCCTTGGGAAAGCCATGTTGACGTGTTTCGAGTGGGGCTGATCAGCGAAAGTGGCCAGGGATGGGCCTGAGGGGCAAGGATGCAAGGGTGACCTTGGACAACTCGCTCATCCTTACTACAGGGCAATATTGAATACATTGTTTTTCCCAACCAACCTGTGTTGTTGGGTCCTCGTTTTGAAGAGACGGTGCCCGCGTCTTCTCCTCCTCCTCTTCCCCCTCCTCCCTCCTCCCCCTCCTTGCCTCTGCTCTCGGCACACCTCTCACGCGTTTCGTAGCCCCATAGGGAGCTCCACCGAAGGCCCCAGTGGGGGTGTTCGCATGCGGTTCCCCACCCAGGGCAGCGTTTCGTGCCCCATAGGGAGCTCCACCGAAGGCCCCAGTGGGGGTGTTCGCATGCGGTTCCCCCACCCAGGGCAGCGTTTCGTGGCCCCATAGGGAGCTCCACCGAAGGCCCCAGTGGGGGTGTTCGCATGCGGTTCCCCCACCCAGGGCAGCGTTTCGTGGCCCCATAGGGAGCTCCACCGAAGGCCCCAGTGGGGGTGTTCGCATGCGGTTCCCCCACCCAGGGCAGCGTTTCGTGGCCCCATAGGGAGCTCCACCGAAGGCCCCAGTGGGGGTGTCCACATGCGGTTCCCCCACCCAGGGCAGCGTTTCGTGCCCCATAGGGAGCTCCACGGAAGGCCCCAGTGGGGTTGTTCGCATGCGGTTCCCCCACCCAGGGCAGCGTTTCGTTCCCCATAGGGAGCGCCACCGAATGCCCCAGTGGGGTGTCACATGCGGGTTCATCCCGCCACCCAGGGCAGCGTTTCGTATCCCATAGGGAGCTCCACCGAAGGCCCCAGTGGGGGTGTTCGCATGCGGTTTCCCCACCCAGGGCAGCGCTTCGTGGCCCCATAGGGAGCTCCACCGAAGGCCCCAGTGGGGGTGTTCGCATGCGGTTCCCCCCACCCAGGGCAGCGTTTCGTAGCCCCATAGGGAGCTCCACCGAAGGCCCCAGTGGGGGTGTTCGCATGCGGTTCCCCCACCCAGGGCAGCGTTTCGTGGCCCCATAGGTAGCTCCACCGAAGGCCCCAGTGGGGGTGTTCGCATGCGGTTCCCCCACCCAGGGCAGCGTTTCGTGGCCCCATAGGGAGCTCCACCGAAGGCACCAGTGGGGGTGTTCGCATG